TTCAGTTGTACAGGACTAGTGGTGATGGCGATGTGCGCGTAGCTGCATGTTACAATCGCAGAGGAAAAACGAATCGCCACATCATCATGTAGAAACTATTGATTTCACTCAACATGAGTGGGACCAGAGACCATATCTATTATGGTCTCTGGTGGGACACACTGTGCAAGACAAAACTGGATGATTTTTTTCAAGTTTTTTCTTGACTGATTTGGAGGTGAATAATTAATTTACCTAAATGGACAAGTGGTACCTGCATGGGGAATATTTGAACCAATTTTCAATACTGTGTTACTATACCATAAAATTGATTTATTGTAGATCAGGTGTATTTATTCTGTTCCACTGTAACTGAAGACATTTTTAAGGAGAACATATTATAAGATTAACATAACAGGATTCACACTACAGCAAACAATTAACCCAAATAAATAACGAACACCTGGAGTACAGTTAATAAAAAATTATTTTGAAATGGTGTCTTAAAAGTCCAATAACAATAGACACATTCACAATAGCTTCCAACTGTAATACTGATGAATAACAATAACATTTTCAGAGGATGCAAATTGAAAATATATTGGGTGCAATGTTTATGTTGATAGAAGTATCCTTTTAGATTAGTCTGACATAAATGGCAACAATAACAGCTGGATCAATGCATAATTTATCATAGTCTTCTCCCCTTACACATTATCATAATCTCTTACCTATGAATGATGTTTTTTTCTGATTCCCAACTTACACTTTTCAAACAGGATGAAATACATTCTTTTTCATCAATTATTAATTAAACAGCAGCAAATGAGTTACATCTACAACTATGCCATTATGAAAGACCTTTCTATTATTCAGTTAAATCCATCAATGTGTATGTATTACAGCTGTCTCTTTTTTCATCCATCATTTACACAACACAAACGCACCAAACAATTTCATTTACATTCATGTCTGTCAATTTTTGTGCTGTTTGGGCAAGGTACTTCACAAAACCTGGGAAGATATTGAACAAATGAAAAAAGTTCCAGCTAATCAGTGCCAATGTTTGAAATGATGGAATACTGTAAAATGTTCAATCAATTTTTATCATCATACATGAATTTACAAACTCCAAACTTTCCGAGTTCAAGTTTTCTGTTCAATTTTTCTATTTTGTCAACCTTTTCCTTGAGTTGCCTCCCCTGTTCATGTAATGTTTGATGGAGTTGTTCTATGTAGGACTGGGGTCAGTGGCTGCTGTATCACTCTCTGCTTCACTGTAATATAAGCATTGTAAAGCATCAGTATTATCTCTTCGACCACACAAACAATAAATATATCTCTGGAATTACAAATATACATCAAGGAATAGAGGCTAACATCATTTCATATTTTAGACAGTATGGGCAATCAATATTTTTATATGTAAATATCATAGCATATAGGTCAAAGTTCAGTTGTATTAAATTCTTCAAAACCATGTCAGTTGGCAATATTAACTTAATACGATCTGACATTCTTACTGTATCTGAGATGGTGACTGTGGTAGATTCCTTATGGGAGGTTCCTGAGCTGGTGACATGCTCTCTGACTCTTAATAAGCAGCATCTGAAATGGATATTTGAACACTAAATATATTTCAGTTGGTGTTTTTTTTAACAGCATGTGTATGTCCTGCATATATTCATGTATATGTACTTGAAATGTTACTTTGATTTGCAGCCAATCTAATTTCACGGATACAGAATATTTGCAAATAAAATTCCCATGCCATCATGACAAGAGTGTCTGCACATGTCCATAAGCTTAATTTTTTTTTAATATATTGGACCGTTCATAATTTATGACTAAGGGGGTGATGATGATTTTAGGTGCGGTGTTTGCGGGGGTTGGGGTGTCTCCCAGTTTGTTTTGGGAGGCAGGGGGAGGGGTCAATTGTGTACATATGAACTAGGGGTGATCACTGATTTTGAACATGACAATGTGTGGGGGTGGGGTTTGAATGTGTCCGTGTGTGTGTGACATTCACATTGTACATGTGCCCCTGATATTAAAACCTTGCATAGTGAACAGTTTGTACATTACACGGCAGATCTAGACTATGCCATGTGCCGTAATTATTTTGTACTTACTATGAATCATTTTCCAGGATCTCTCCGTATTTTCGTCAACCACTGCCTTCTTCTGATCTTATTCTTGGAAATATGGTGAAAAGATACCATAAAATCCTTACGGGCATCACTCCAACGCAAAGGCACACAGCAGTAATCTTTCCTTTTCGAGGTCGCCATTTTCAAGGTTGGGTCAACCTATTTAAGCCTCGCTTTCGATTTGACCTCGAGGTCATGCATATTGGCTAAGAATGGTCGCAGGACACGATAACAAGTAAAGAGGTGAGGATGGCAGAACAGTCACCAGGACTTATAAGAATTAGTTTGGGGAATTTCTGATTAGGATTCAGTCAGTTGGTACTATGTAGGTAGTCACGATCGGGATGCACCGACTTTGAGTATTTTTTTTCCAAGTGTCTTTTTAAGTGTATATATGTAAATATGTTATAGTATTAATAAATTATTATTTAGGAAATAAAGTTCGCTCTACCCCAATACCGTCCTCGTGCTTTAATTATAATAGTTCAGGGCAAAACTATACTTTATTACAAAACACATTGGGGTAGAGCGAACTTTATATCTTTTCTAAGATGCTAAATTTAATACTTAGGATAATTACGATTAACTTAAGTCAGAAAACAACCGACGGTGTCGGTGACCTAAATTAAGAATCCTCGCACAGGGCTAACTGGCGCGCTGTTCTATTGATGTGTCTGCCCCCCTACGTTAAGACGAGCGTTACCAGAAAAAAACAAATGATAACAGTTTGATGACGGTTTACGTTCGGATTAAATATCTTCTCTGAATTATTTTAATTACATCTGTCAGTAACGTAAACCATATGGGGCAATATGAACGTCGCATTTCTACTACCAACGTAAGTTTAGATCAGTACATCCATGAAGCTGAGTAGTCAATATTGACATTCCACGATTGCATTGTGGGAATGTAAACATTGCAAACGTTACCGTGTCGCTGAAAACTTGTGAGTCGAATTGACACATTTTAACCGCCGTAAAACATAAACGTAATGTTTCCACTAGTGATGTTAGCTGTGTGAAGCAACTGCAAACCATTAAACGGGATGCAACGGAGTAGTTTACTGTAGGAGGCCGTACGAGGCGATGACAACTGACATGCATCGTGACGTCGCTTACATTGTGACGTAATGTAAAATAATTCGATTACGAGGGGGCACACTAGAATGGCGCAGTGACTGGAAAACGTCATTCAATTGTTACGTCATCAAAAAACTATACCTTTATTGTCTGATAATGTAATTTTTTTTCGATTGTTCTAACGGCTAGGCATCTTAGAATGTTGTTGAAATACATCTTGTACGTTTTTATACAAAGTTTCTAGTTGTTGTTCCAAAAGTTTTGGAGTTATGGAAAGTTTAAGTTTCGCGGGTTCAGAAACCAATGCTAAGTCTAGCCATTAGCAAACGTCAGCTAGCTAATTAATATGCAAGGGATATCGGGTCAGAGGTTAAAGGGCGGTCCTCCCACGGAACTGACCAATCAGGAGCAAGTACTTTGTAATGACACTATGGCTGACGTTTGCTATGAGCTAGACGCGAAGCATAGAAGTCTTAATTTCAAGCGAATTACAACGAACACAATAGTTTACATATCACAAGTTAATTATCTTAAAACGTATTCCCTACATTTATCACTATTCAGCAATATATATTCTTGGAGGAACAAGCGAACTCATTAGTATAATGCAAATTAGGGGGCGGAATTTAGACATGTTTTGTAAACAAACTCGCGCTACCAGGTTATCAATGGGACTATGTAGATTCTACACTTGTACTTTCACATGCACAAGAGTACATATTTTAGTGACTGAGCATCGAATAGCATACCCTCCCCTGTTTGGCGTTACACTATTCATAAAGCCTAAACAATAATTGTGAAACTAATAACTTCACCTTTTTAGTTCTTGTTATCTTAAAAGTCTAGAAAACCAGGACTAATGTTACTGGTGACTGCATTGAAGATATGATTTTGTCTAATGTTATCCTTTACAAAATGTAAAAGTTGCCGATCTCTTCCAACGTCACACCTGAAAGGTCTGTGACGTCGGGGTACGGTATATGTTTTAGGTTGGACTAAGGCCTAAACGTGTATCATTAATTATATTCTGTAATTAAAACTAGCGAAACGTGAATATACTCACTACATGAGCAGTCACGGTGTAGAAATATTTTTTGACGCTTGAGTGACTGCCATGTAAATAATCGATTCTGAACCAGGCAAACCAGTGACCGTACGGATGAGCAAGGGTCGATATACATCGTCGGGACATGATACACAATCAGTTCTATTCACCCAGAATGACTATACATCAGGTCCACGTTGTAGTCTCCCAACACGAGCTGAATTCGACGTTCTGGTGATTTCGACGATTGCATTGCACGCGCTATATCGGGGGAGTACGTGTGCGATCGGAGTGCACAAACAGTTTCACTGGTAGGGCGGGTGCCAAGTCGCTGTCGTGAGAAGTTTTATTGACAATGGAAATCGGGAAGTAAAGTTATATAAAAAGCAAACAAACATCAATATTATTTACCCGAGATCGTTAATACCACTTCAGATGCAAAATCAGTTCCCTTTATAACAAAAAAATAGCAAGCGAAAATTCAGTTAGATCAGTCGTCTGCTGGTGACAGGCAATATATAAATAGGAAGCCACGTGATCACATCACTTCCTCGCAGTGCGGAGCAAAAAGTATTGCTCAAAGTATTGAAACCCGATACAAAATACCCGGATGTTACGAGCGGCAGTGTTTCGCCGATACGATTTCATCAACGCTATATTTGTAGGGAACACTTAATATTTTTGTGTGAAATAGATGAATATATCCTTTATCACTCGAGGTTAGTAAAAACTTTAAATGATATTACAGATAAATAATACGTTTTTGTCTTACATCGTCGAAAACCCCTGACACAGGGATCCTCTCTTACCACATGCATCGACTTATTCACTGAAGAGCAAATATATCCCTGAATACCGGCCCAGCACAAACAATGATGTCTGTATTACAACAGAAGGGTTTATCTTTACCTGTGTGTTTAATGTTATTTCGTATCTTTGCGATACAGACATCAGTTGTTTTGTTATTAAAGTGCACAATATGACTCCTTATTCCGTATTTTAAGAAAACAAATTCACTATCAGTATCGATCATTTATACTGATAACAAACCGCACGCTACTGCCCAATCACGAATACGGTATTTTACACAAAACCAGAAGCGTTATTTACCGCAATCACGCTTTTAGTGTGAAAAATAATGAAATAGACTATACTTTTGACCGGAAATAGAAATCTTTGCGTCTCCCTTTTCTGGAGAGTTCCAGATAAGCAAATGCTCTCTTTTGATGAAATATTAAACTGTGAACCATCTGGCGATGCTGTAAAGGAGAGTTAATCTAACATATGATTTCTATTTTCTGTACAGTGCTCTTAATTTCCTCTTTATTTTAATGAGAATACAGAAGCTGTTCTTACAATCTGTTGGATTATTCCGCTACAAATCGAGCGATCCAGTTGTTAGGTTTCTGTCGGTGACAACAAGACGACAGCAGCAACACAGGTAGGTAGGTTGTTGGCAATTTTTCGGGGATAACCACACAGCTTTGTATATATTTGATAATTGGAAAGAAATGTGTATAAACCCTGTAATGAAGTGGCAGGTTGATTGGTCGATGCCGGAATTTACAGTCCAATCTATGATCACACCCGGCTTGCTGTTCTGATTGTGACTAATTAAGATAATCAACACATACACGGCTGTCACATGACATGATCGTCGTTACTTGGACACACAATAAACTAGTATTCACAGGTCGACGTTGAGCCCCTGGTGTGTAACTGTTAACCTAGTCCAGATATATTACGTTCTATCCATTAAGCAGGTGCAAATTTCTTGTCACACCCCTTTGAGAAGGAACTTATCATAACCAGGTCCTGATAACCAGGCTCTTAGAAATTGTAGACTAAAGGTTTAGTAACGCGAGAGCAAACGTTTGCATTAGTTTCTAATGCAGTTGCACTGTGTAAAGAAAAGATCACAGAACTAGTCTAAACCTTTTCAGATAATTCCTTGGAAATGATATCTTGTCCTGCTATCAGTTTTATACATTTCCAATTTGTTTTTGTTTTTGTTCATTGTTTAACACCTCATTCACCAATATTCCAGCTATATAGCAGCAGTCTGTAAATAATGGAATCTGGGCCAGACAATGCAGTGATCAACATCATGAGCATCGATCTACTCAATTTGGATACGATGACATGTGTCAACCAAGTAAAACGAACCTCCTGATCCCGTTACTTGTCTCTTACAACAAGCATGGGTTACTCAAGATCAGTTCTAACCCGGATCTTTACATCGTTGTGGTTAAGGGTTAAGTACGAGTCACTACATTTCCAAGAAAGAGATACAAGTATGGGTTGCTGAAGACCAAGTCTAACCCATATCTTCACGAGTAGCTGGTTGGTTTGTTGTTTAGCACTGCACTCAGCAATATTCCAGCTATATGGCTGTGGTCTGTAAATAATCGAATCGAGTCTGGGCAAGACAATCCACTGATCAACAGCATGAGCATCAATCTACACTGTTGGGATATGACTGACTGAGTTTAGTTTTACGCCCCTTTTAGCAATATTCCAGCAATATCACGGCGGGGGACACCAGAAATGTTGGGATATGATGACGTGCGGGTCTGACCACCTGATCCCATTATGACCAATTCAAACCCGACCTTCACGGGTTCTGCATGAGTGAGTTCTAATTCATAGCCAAACCAACAAATGGTTTAGAAATAGTCCACGTGGACAACCATCAGTGCATTTTCTCTTGTGCTCACCACAGTTTACTTGAATTTCATCGGCTGTACAGACAGGTACCTTCAATAAAATAATTTCCTTGACTTTGAATTTCTGGTTTATATATCTCTCTGGTGGTTCCTATGCCAATTGTCACAAGCATTGCTTGTTCTTTCTACTGAGAGACTGTCCATTTCAACTTTCATGCTGATCCTTAGTCATTATGAAAGCATCTCTTCAAAGTATCTCTGAATATGCATTTCACAAATAGTAACTGCAAGAACAGTTTGATTCTGATTCGTTTATTTAAAGTTCGGTGACTGCCTATAAGTGACACCCACTTCCACTGTTAGGAAAACTCAAGGTGTCAAAATGTCCGTCTTGTTTTGTAGTAGGCAGCGGTAACAATTATTTGTAATAATTGTATACCACATGGATAGGAATGAATTGTATCTATTTTTCCTTATCCCGATATGGCTGAAATATTGCCAATGTGACATTAAAACTTATTGAAGAATCACCAGAAGAGGATCATCATTACCTGTCATCATTACTAAGTGACACTGTATGTATGGTCCAGTTGACCATTAATTCTTCATTTTCTGTGCCTGTGGCAAGGCCCAAAGAGGTGCTATCTATTTAATAGATGACTACTATTGCTGTTTGGCTTGGTTGCAGTGTCTCTTGGTGAGCTGTGTTGAAACATCAGTGATCACTAAGATGATATTTGAAAATTGGAGGTAGAGCTTTAAATTGTACAATGATCATGTCGTGAAAGACCCGAATCCTTGTTATCCTATGGCATACAGACAGATGACATCCTTATCTTGTGAGGTTACTGATATTAGGGTTACACTCTGTGGTCATGTCGACAAAATGTCCGACTTCGTACCAAAGGATCTGTGGTGTGAATCCCAGCACAGGACTCAGAAAGTTTATAGCCGCTACACATTGAATGTCAGATTTTGTGTGGATCTGTTGATGATCTCAAACAGTCCAAATAGCTTGCCGGGTCTGATCACAGATTGGACTGTAAATTCCAGGCATCGACTAATCAACCTTAGGTTGTGTGGATGGTTGTATGTTGGGTTGTCTATTGGGTTTTGTTGGGTTGGGTGGTGGTGTTGTTCGTGGTGTTGTGTGTTGGACTATATAGTGGTTGTGTGGTGTATTGTACGGTGGGTTGTGTGTTGGACTATATAGTGGTTGTGTGGTGTATTGTACGGTGGGTTGTGTGTTGGACTATATAGTGGTTGTGTGGTGTATTGTACGGTGGGTTGTATGTTGGACTATATGGTGGGTGTGTGGTGTATTGTACGGTGGGTTGTGGGTTGGATTGTATAGTGGTTGTGTGGTGTATTGTATGGTGGGTTGTGTGGGGGATTGTATAGTCGTTGTGTGGTGGATTGTATGGTGGGTTGTGGGTTGGATTGTATAGTGGTTGTGTGGTGTATTGTACGGTGGGTTGTGTGTTGGATTGTATAGTGGTTGTGTGGTGTATTGTACGGTGGGTTGTGTGTTGGATTGTATAGTGGTTGTGTGGTGTATTGTACGGTGGGTTGTGTGGGGGATTGTATAGTGGTTGTGTGGTGGATTGTATGGTGGGTTGTGGGTTGGATTGTATAGTGGTTGTGTGGTGTATTGTACGGTGGGTTGTGTGTTGGACTATATAGTGGTTGTGTGGTGGATTGTACGATGGGTTGTGTGGGGATTGTATAGTGGTTGTGTGGTGGATTGTATGGTGGGTTGGATTGTGTGGTGGATTGTATGGTGGGTTGTGGGTTGGATTGTATAGTGGTTGTGTGGTGTATTGTATGGTGGGTTGTGTGGTTCCTTGACAGTGTCAGTATATCACAAGATGCAGAATTGTTCTAGTAAGGGCACTTCCATGTTTCAGGTTGAGGTCTCCAACCATCATGGCGACTGAGAACATCAAGCAGGTGTGGGAGAATGGCGACATCTTGAGGTCAGCTCAGGACAAGCGTCTGTATCGAGGCCTGGAACTCACTAATGGGATGAAGCTACTTCTGATCAGCGATACTGACACTGACAAATCAGCAGCTTCAATGAATGTCAACATAGGTTAGTGATGGATTTGATAACAATAAGGTTGAGCATGCCCTTCTTCTTTTTAAAATCTGGACCCGGGTTCAATTCCCCACATGGGTATAATGTGTGAAGCCCATTTCTGGTGTCCCCCAGTGATATTGCTGGAATATTGCTAAAAGCTGCGTAACGTAAAACTAAACTCAGTCAGTTTTAATATCTGGACATAATACCCCTTACTGATGAACCTTTACCAAGTTTCATTAATAAATATAAAACGATTTGAAACCTGATTATACATTTTGAATGTATGTGTGCAAAAATTGTAAAATAAATTAAAAATGTATAACTACCAATTGTACCTGTCTGTTTTAAGGATGTTACCGCAGAAACTAAACATAGGGATAACACAGGACATCCCCTTATGAGTCTTTACATTCTACCAGCCCTTGGGACAGCAATAAAAATGATACGATTACACAGAAAGATGTAACAGACTTTAAAGACACTCTCCTTCTATGGCTACTTGATATGTGTGGCGAATTTATTAATTATAGATGTAATTAATGAATATTTTTGTATAGCAATATGTGTGAATAATGTTATTTCAGTATTTGTAATGATGAAGTAATGGCATACTAGTATTTAGATTGTTCTGGAGCTGTCCTCTGTGTTGTGTACATTGTTCATCTATGGTGACAGAATGCTGATTTACTAACCAGTATTGTTTATGTTATCCTCTGTAGTGACATTATACTGATTTACTAACCAGTATTTTTTATGTTATCCTCTGTAGTGACATTATACTGATTTACTAACCAGTATTGTTTATGTTATACTCTGTAGTGACATTATACTGATTTACTAACCAGTATTGTTTATGTTATCCTCTGTAGTGACATTATACTGATTTACTAACCAGTATTGTTTATGTTATACTCTGTAGTGACATTATACTGATTTACTAACCAGTGTTGTTTATGTTATCCTCTGTAGTGACATTATACTGATTTACTAACCAGTATTGTTTGTTATCCTCTGTAGTGACATTATACTGATTTACTAACCAGTATTGTTTATGTTATCCTCTGTAGTGACATTATACTGATTTATTAACCAGTATTGTTTATGTTATACTCTGTAGTGACATTATACTGATTTACTAACCAGTATTGTTTGTTATCCTCTGTAGTGACATTATACTGATTTACTAACCAGTATTGTTTATGTTATCCTCTGTAGTGACATTATACTGATTTACTAACCAGTATTGTTTGTTATCCTCTGTAGTGACATTATACTGATTTACTAACCAGTATTGTTTATGTTATCCTCTGTAGTGACATTATACTGATTTACTAACCGGTATTGTTTATGTTATCCTCTGTAGTGACATTATACTGATTTACTAACCAGTATTGTTTTGTTATCCTCTGTAGTGACATTATACTGATTTACTAACCAGTATTGTTTATGTTATCCTCTGTAGTGACATTATACTGATTTACTAACCAGTATTGTTTTGTTATCCTCTGTAGTGACATTATACTGATTTACTAACCAGTATTGTTTATGTTATCCTCTGTAGTGACATAATTCTGATTTACTAACCAGTATTGTTTATGTTGTCCTCTGTAGTGACATAATACTGATTTACTAACCAGTATTGTTTATGGTATCCTCTTTAGTGACATAATGCTGATTTACTAACCAGTATTGTTTGTGGTCCTCTGTAGTGACATTATACTGATTTACTAACCAGTATTGTTTATGTTATCCTCTGTAGTGACATAATTCTGATTTACTAACCAGTATTGTTTATGTTATCCTCTGTAGTGACATTATACTGATTTACTAACCAGTATTGTTTATGGTATCCTCTTTAGTGACATAATGCTGATTTACTAACCAGTATTGTTTGTGGTACTGATTTACTAACCTATGTAGTAGTGACATTATACTGATTTACTAACCAGTATTGTTTATGTTATCCTCTGTAGTGACATAATACTGATTTACTAACCAGTATTGTTTGTGTTATCCTCTGTAGTGACATTATACTGATTTACTAACCAGTATTGTTTGTGGTCCTGTGTAGTGACAGTATACTGTGTTACTAACCAGTATTGTATATGTTGTCTAGGTCACATGAGTGACCCCACTGATCTGCCTGGTCTTGCCCACTTCTGTGAACACATGTTGTTCCTTGGCACAGAGAAGGTAAGTATGTATTCCCAGATAAACTTGTGTAGAGGATAAAGTTAAGCATTAGCAAAGGGAATGTGTAGTTGTATTACCTATAGATCAGAGGGTGCTTGGTTGGTGGAGCACAGTGGTGTAGTGGTTAGCATGCTGGCCTCTCACTCTAAAGGCCCGTGTTCGAATCCTGGTGGAGACACCAAAATTTGTGACCTGGGTCTCATACTGTGTTGTGTCCCTGGGCAAGGCACTTCGTCCGCATTGCACTCAGTCCACCCAGCTGTTTAAAATGGGTACCTGAGAAGCAGATGTACGAACTTATACGGTCGCGCGAAGCACATAGTAGCTGCTTTGAAAGTACAATTCCGTCAGGGTAATAATGCCACGCCAGAGAGCAGCATTGTGTTGGATTCTAGGTGCAAAAATAAGCATTATTATTATTTAACATTGGAAGTACTATTTAGAGATGCCACAGCTGTTAACACAGCTTTTTATTAAGGTAACCTCATCATGTTCACCTCAGATGTTTGTGTGTACCACAATAGTAGTCAAATGTTGTTAAATGGCTTTCACTGCGTAGGAATGATTAATAATAAATATAATATGTTTGCAGTCAAAAAGCATACTTGATATGCATGATATTTGAAGTAATGAATCTGTGGATTCAGAATTTGAAGACGGTGTTATCGACTTCAAAGAAATAGAAGATGGTTAACTTTCTGATCTTCAACAGTGTTTAATCTACCTCACAGAGAGGGATCAACTGAATTGCTTCAATTTCAAAGGGCACATCTAAACATATCCTAAGTGTCTTGTGGCACACTTGGAGGATACATTTCTACCCTTGTTATCAAGTCAGCTAAAAAATAATGGATTGTGTTCAGAGGTGTCATTTTCATTGTATTTAATCATACTTATCACTGCTTGATGAAGACAGTTTAATCATGCTAATTACTGCACGCTTGATGAATACATTGAAGAATTCAGACATCATTTGGGACTATTTACATCCTACTAGTTGTGTGCAGTCCTCGCAGGACTGTGATTGTCTCTCTATCATTAATATGGACTGATATAACTATTCTTGTTCCAAAACATATCTTTAGTTGAAATGAAAGAATTTATTCTTATTTTCTTTTTCTATTATTTCAGTATCCAGATGAAAATGAGTACAGTAAGGTAAGTTGTTTATGTATATCTCTATATGTTGATACACAGTATCTGAGATGTATGAAGCCCATTTCTGGTGTCTGATGTTGCTGGAATATTGCTAAAAGCTGCGTAAAACCAAACTCATTCAGTCAGTCAGTGTCTGAGTACTGATGTGAGTGTCACATCATGGTTGTGACGGACACCCTGCATCCCTGGTATGGAATCTGACAAACTCAGTCTGAATCTCTGCTCAAGAACAATGTGTGAAGCCCCTTCTTGACGTCTTGCCATGATATGGCTTGAATATTTATAAATAAACCATGCAATAATTAACATAGTAACTAAGTATGATGTTATGTTGTGGGTTGATTTGTTGAGTGAGTGAGTTTAGTTTTAAACTGCTTTTGTCAATGTTCCAGCAATATCATAAGAAATAGGCTTCAAACATTGTACCCATGTGGGGAATTAAACCCCGGTCTAAGGCGTGATGAGTGAATGCTTTAACTACAAGGCTACCCCACCACTCCTGATTTGTTGGGAATATGAAGGCTGATAAGTGTAGGCAGTGGGAAGTAGGGCTGTATGTTCACAGTAGGGCTGCAACCATTCCTCTAGGGGGCGATATCATACGTATCACAAATATTGGGTAGTGAATACGAATATTGGATAATGAATACAACAAATCAGCAGTTGATGTGTTATTCAATATATTCAGTGAAATAATAACAAGATACATAATTTGACAATGCTGTCAAATAAGATGCATAAGAGTTTTCATTATCATGCTGTCTTTTTAGGATATAGTCCATCTCATTTTGATAAATACCACCCAAATTCAGGTAAAAACACACCTTTTAAAAAATTCTTGAACATTTGATTCTAGTGATTGTGAGTGAGTGAGGGAGTATGGTTTTATGCCGCTTTTAGCAATATTCCAGCAACATCACAGCGGGGAACACCAGAAATGGGCTTCACACATTGTACCCATGTGGTAAATCAAATACGGGTCTTCGGCATGATGAGCGAACGCTTTAACCACTAGGCTACCCCACTGCCCTCTAGTGTTTGCATAACGAATTGAATTGATGAATGGGTTTGGTTTGATTCACCAAACACATGAGTGAATCACAACAGCCCTTGTTTACAGTTTTGTAGACTGTCGTCAGCTTGTACGGTGCCCTAACCACAGCTATATTGTTTTCAGTTTCTTAGTGAGCATGGGGGCAGCAGCAATGCATACACCTCCACCGAGAACACCAACTACTTCTTTGACATCACACCCGGGAATCTGGCCGGGGCTCTGGACAGGTGGGTAACACAAGACATTGACTGAAGACATCTGGCATTTCTCCTCAGTACAGAACCTCAGGCAGAGAGTTAGCTAGACATGCATGATGTCCAGAAAAGTGTACAGGGTATATGTTTTGAAAAAATGTTTCGGAGAAAACAAGTTTGTATGGAAAGTATAAGATCAAGAACCCCCTCACGCCTGTACCCACCCCTATCTCCACCTCCACCACCTCTTTCCTCCACCTACCGTATATTACCATAGATAAGCCAGTCTCATAGATAAGCTCCCTAACTTGACCCTTTTAATCAGTGTCAAAATGGTATATTTCGTATATAAGCAATGGGGGTCCTAATTGCGGCCAACTAACTGCCAAGACAAGTGGCAGTTACTGTCTAGGATGTAAAATGTATATCCCCCATCCCTATTAACACACACACCCCACACCCAAACACACACACACCCTACCCATGTCAACACACCTTTCCTCTAGCCAACCCCCAATCAATTCTACCCTACATCTACCCCCAATCCAATCTCCCATACCCCACCCCACCTCCACCAATCGTTTCCTCCATCCTGACAACCCACAATGACACAGCTCTCTCCCCTATCCCCTAGTTTTAAATCTCTGATCTCTCCACATTGCTCGCTGTTGATACCTGCTCATTTCACTGCAGGTTTGCCCAGTTCTTCTTGTGCCCACTGTTCACATCCTCGGCGACTGACAGGGAAGTCAATGCTGTCAACTCCGAGAATGACAAGAATCTCCAGAGTGACCAGTGGAGACTCATGCAGCTAGAGAAGTCCCTTGCTGACCCGTCACATGACTTCAGTAAATTTGGATCAGGTCAGTTTCCATGGCAACCAGTATGGTACTCCATATGATGTTTGTCTACTGCTCAGTATTAACCCAGTATGATGTCATTGACACAGATAGGTCTTTGAATGGCATTTAGAAGTGATAGACATAAGGAAGAGAGTTGTTATGAATGTCAACTTCTCTTTATTATTAATAACGTTTCGGAGTATATCCTAACACCTTCATCTTCACACAGTTTTTTTTGGGTGTTCAGTATACCTGATATCCTGATATCTTGGATAGAGGTTTGTAATATGATCTTTAGATCAAATGTGAAGATCCAGGTTGGAATAGGTCTTCAGAAACCCATGCTTGTCATAAGAAGCGACTGATGGGTCAGGCTTGCTGACTTGGTTGACATGCGTCATCGTATCTCAACTGTGTAGATCAGTGCTCATGCTGTTGATCACTTGATTTTCTGGTTCAGATTAGCATCTGTTTGTGTGCTGTCTGAAGTGAGTCACAAGACCTCGTAGCCTAAGCCTTTTGGAAGCTAGACCATTGTTACTGCAGTCTGAATGTTACTTCATTGCTGTTACCACTACCATTTTATTTCATACTACCATTGTAATTTGCGCTGCCTTTGACACTTTTGTATTGTAATGATCTTGCCAAAACTTGTATTGATTTGTGAACCTTGTTAATGTAATTATTTTGTGTACCGATCTCTGACAGATGAACTTATTGTTTCAATTTGGAAATCAACATAGATGGTATACACAAAACATAATAATTGTACATCTGGAGACAAGGGGACTCTCAACTTCGATGGAGTTTCAGTTTGTTATACCACCAAACTATCAGAACTGTGTACATGATAAATGTTTGGTCTTACAGGCAACAAGCAGACCCTGGATACGTTACCAAGGGAACGAGGACAGAACACAAGAGACGAACTGCTAAAGTTCCATTCCAAGTACTACTCAGCTAATGTCATGGGTCTCTGTGTGTTAGGGAAGGGTGAGTAACTGGAGACATTGTTGTCCTCTAAAAATCACCATATTCACATGCATCCAACTACTGAGAAATTTAAACAGTTGAGACCATGATAAGCAGTCGTCCTTTTTTAAATATGCTGAAATTGTTGATGACAGAGTATTATCGTATTTTGTCTTTGGAACAAACAGATTATGACCAATGATGATTAAATTCAAACTTTTCTGAAAAATAACTGACCAGTGCTAACAGATATTGTTCATACCCCTGAGGTTGTGTGTATTGAGTCAGGGGTTGTCCCTCTGTTGTTGTAATTGAATTTAGGATCTTTAATAGACGTGAATAGATTTTTCATTTGTCCACTAATGCCTTGTAAGTAAACCTCTAATAAAGTCTTGTTCACAACAAAAATAAAAGCTATTACAAGAAATGGAGATTGTGGGGTCCTGACCTCCGAGATTATGTCTTTGCCAGAGTCCCTGGATCAGTTGTCGGAGATGGTGGTGCCGCTATTTGCTGGTGTTGAGAACAAGTCTGTGTCCGTCCCAGAGTGGAATATTCACCCCTTTGGCCCTGACCAGCTTCAGGTCAGTGTCACCTTGTGACAGGTTCTTGTAAATAGTCCTGCTAATAGTGTTTTACAACTTCTACTTCATCTAGCCCTCACATGTCTATTCCACATCCCAGCAACATGTGCCCTTAAAGCAAGCCAACCTAACTGACTTTCATCTCATTATCAGTACCCTGTAACCCAAGCCCTCAATACACAAATCCCTACCCTCTATACCAAAGCACTCAATCCACACTTAACTAACCTACATCTCCCTATCCCTACCCTTTAACTGAAGTGCTTGATCCACACATCAGTAACCCATTTCATAATCCCTACCCTCTAAACCATGCCCTTGATCCACACCTAACCTACATCTCAGTATCCCTACCCTCTAACCAAAGTGCTCGATCCATACATCCTTTACCAGCATCTCACTATCCCTACCCTCTAACCCCATCCCTTTACCCCCACTCTCTTAACCCCATCCCACTTATTATCCCTTCAACTCTACCCCTATAACCTCCTATCATCCCATCCACTGTGACCCAGAGTATTGATACAGTCATCCCTCGCCATAACGGGGGGTCTTGGGGTCCATGGATGACCCCCCACATTATTAGACACCAGCGTTATAGTAACTATTACATAACACAGAACGAAGGCCAAGTAAAATCATGTTTTTTCATGGACATAACAAAACTGCTATTTCGTGTATTGTGCCCTGTCGAAACTATATCATATTGTTGGATGTGAAAAAAACCAAAACTTTATAAATGAAAATAGATGTATGTACAGGAACCTTGCAATCAAACATCACTAGACATGATAATTCAATTGTTGTTCCTGTTATGCTACCTGTTAATCAACTAAGCCGGAAATAGCAATCAGCTGTGCACAGATGTTTGGTCCAATGTACAGGTGGTTCAGTTAAAAACGATCCGATAACATAACATCAAAGAATTTGTATTCCATTATCAGAATAATTTATATCTTAAGCAGTTATTTTTACAGAGATATCATATATTGCTATCGTATAAGTATAATACATGTTTTCTACGAACATATTTGACATAATAATTAACATAGGCTAAGCACTTTGGGTTACCTGGCTGTATATATTTTGCGTAGGAGACATTTTGACAAGTCACCGCTGACTTCCCGCGGTACGTGCCACTTTGATTGTAAAAACAAAATGTTGGCAATCAATTGTCAAAAAAACCTTCAATGAGTCAATAACGAGGGTGTTGGGGTCCATGGATGACAAGGCTGTAATCTGTGCGTGATTGCTGAGAAAAATGTGAAATTGGTGCTATCGCTGTTAGCGCGAAAAACAGATCCTCAAGAGTGTGTTAAGCGGAAGTTGTATGAAACGGTTTCTTCGTTGTTACTGTAAACAGTTTTAATGAATGAAAATGGGATTGAATTTAATCAAATAAAATGTGTTTTCTGACATCATACGTTCTCGGATGGCAGTGTTTACCCACGCAATAACGTGGTGTGTTGCATCACAGCCAAAATTGTAAGTATTCGGCTGATGCCATGTGTTTATGATAAAGTGGTCTTTCATAAGTTATTACGATGTTTTGCTGTTTGTCTGATTATTATTGAGAAAATCCTGCATGTTTTAAGCATCTGAAAAACCATGGATCTGTACGATAAACACTGTTGATTGCAATCCGCACTGAATTTCACTAGTTTACAAAGTGTTTAAACAGAGCCCAACAGCGGATTTGTTGATGTGCTATTTTCGATGACGTGAAGATGTGTGATTGCTGGCCAACTTTTTTTATGGGACCTACCGATTACCCCGCGGTTTAACCGAATCCGCGGTATCGCGAAGAGCGTTATTGCAAGGGATGACTGTATGTAGCAGATGTTGTGGTGGTGGATAAAATCACCACGTTAAATCATTTGACAAACAGCTAGGTTTAATTTCTGGTGGCCTTGCAGTATATTACTGGAATATGACTCCAAGCAGAATGAATCCATACTCACTGATTTACTACAGCTGATGTAAATAAAGTAAGTTGTTTATACCAAGTGTTTCACCATGTTTTCAGAGGAACGTATGTGTTGTCCCTGTGAAGGATCTCCGCCAAATGAATGTGTCGTGGTCACTGCCAGATCTCCACCCATACTACACATCAAAGGTAAATATAATATATCCATACTACACATCAAAGGTAAATATAATACATCCATATTACATATCAAAGGTAAATATAATACATCCATACTACACATCAAAGGTAAATATAATATATCCATACTACACATCAAAGGTAAATATAATACATCCATTCTACACATCAAAGGTAAATATAATACATCCATATTACATATCAAAGGTAAATATAATATATCCATACTACACATCAAAGGTAAATATAATACATCCATATTACATATCAAAGGTAAATATAATACATCCATACTACACATCAAAGGTAAATATAATACTTGCATATTACATATCAAAGGTAAATATAATACATCCATATTACATATCAAAGGTAAATATAATACATCCATACTACACATCAAAGGTAAATATAATACATCCATACTACACATCAAAGGTAAATATAATACATCCATACTACACATCAAAGGTAAATATAATATATCCATACTACACATCAAAGGTAAATATAATACATCCATATTACATATCAAAGGTAAATATAATACATCCATACTACACATCAAAGGTAAATATAATACATCCATTCTACACATCAAAGGTAAACATAATACATCCATATTACACATCAAAGGTAAATATAATATATCCATACTACACATCAAAGGTAAATATAATACATCCATACTACACATCAAAGGTAATATAATACATCCATACTACACATCAAAGGTAAATATAATATATCCATACTACACATCAAAGGTAAATATAATATATCCATACTACACATCAAAGGTAAATATAATACATCCATACTACACATCAAAGGTAAATATAATATATCCATGCTACACATCAAAGGTAAATATAATATATCCATGCTACACATCAAAGGTAAATATAATATATCCATGCTACACATCAAAGGTAAATATAATACATCCATATAACACATCAAAGGTAAATATAATACATCCATACTACACATCAAAGGTAAATATTATACATCCATATTACACATCAAAGCTAAATATAATACATCCATACTACACATCAAAGGTACCAAGCAGGTTTCCAGTGTCTAGCAGGCTTCCAGTGCCTAGCAGGCTTCCATTGTCTAGCAGGCTTCCATTGTCTTGCAGACTTCCAGTGCCTAGCAGGCTTCCAGTGCCCAGCAGGCTTCCAGTGTCTAGCAGGCTTCCATTGTCTAGCAGGTTTCCAGTGTCTAGCAGGTTTCCAGTGTCTAGCAGGCTTCCATTGTCTAGCAGGTTTCCAGTGTCTAGCAGGCTTCCAGTGCCTAGCAGGCTTCCATTGTCTTGCAGGCTTCCAGTGCCTAGCAGGCTTCCATTGTCTTGCAGGCTTCCAGTGTCTAGCAGGCTTCCATTGTCTTGCAGGCTCCCAGTGCCTAGCAGGCTTCCAGTGCCCAGCAGGCTTCCAGTGCCCAGCAGGCTTCCATTGTCTAGCAGGCTTTCAGTGAATAGAAGGCTTCCAGTGCCTAGCAGGCTTCCATTGTCTTGCAGGCTTCCAGTGCCTTGCAGGCTTCAATTGTCTAGCAGGCTTTCTGTGCCTAGCAGGCTTCCAGTGCCTAGCAGGCTTCCATTTTCTAGCAGGCTTCCAGTGCCTTGCAGGCTTCTATTGTCTTGCAGGCTTCCAGTGCCCAGCAGGCTTCCATTGTCTTGCAGGCTTCCATTGTCTAGCAGGCTTCCAGTGCCTAGCAGGCTTCCATTGTTTTGCAGGCTTCAATTATCTAGCAGGCTTCCAGTGCCTAGCAGGCTTCCAGTGCCTAGCAGGCTTCCATTGTCTTGCAGGCTTCCATTGTCTTGCAGGCTTCCAGTGCCTAGCAGGCTTCCAGTGCCCAGCAGGCTTCAATTGTCTAGCAGGCTTCCAATGGTCATAATTTATATGTATTTGTGGTGTACATACCAGTCATGCATTGCTACTTGTGATCCAGAAAACTTTGAACTGTCCAGTAGGTGCTTACAACTCGAGAAAACAGAGCATAGCACAGCCAAGTGTATCTATTAGTGGGATACATCTCAGGTAGCTGTCTGAAAGTTGAAGAAGACTGCCCCAGCAGCTTCTGTTACTAAGGGTGTCATTTAACTGTATAAAACATGCGTTAGTGCAATCTGATAATGTGAAATGCTACATGTAATATATTTCTACATGCGACTACGTTATGTAACAAATTGCTACTCAATATCTCAGTACATGCTACATCACCATGCCCATTGTTGTGTGTCATCTGTCCTAGTATTTGGGGCTTGATGTCATTAATCTGGGGCTCTTCATGTTCACATGCACATGTACCTGTGACAATCTGCAGCAATATGATGGTGCATGGTGAATATCAACTATAGCTGATGTTTTGGTGAGTTAAAGATGTACTCTGTATCCTGCAGCCAGAACACTATCTGGGGCACCTGATTGGTCACGAGGGGCCGGGGAGTCTGCTGTCCGAACTCAAGGCAAGAGGTAGGACATTCCGGAAGCCAGACTTTCACTTTCAACTACTGCTTCAGTAATAATTTCTGACTGCACTCATCGAAATTGTTTCTGTGACAACAGATTTAGTCTAATTTTGAGTATTATGTCATCATGTTTCATCACTGGGTGGTTGTCAGTGTTTGAGTTTTGATACTGGATTCCACAACAGAACTATTGATTGGCATTTTAGAGATAGTAACAGTAAAGGCAAGATACTTTATGTGTTATTACTTCTTTATTGTATTATTGGTTAGTTGGGTTTTTAATGCCCCTTTCAGACAGTCCAGTGATCAATAGCATGAGCATCAATCTACGTGATTGGGATACGATGACATGTGTCAACCAAGTCAGTGAGCCTGACCCCCTGATCCCGTTAGTCACCCCTTACGACAAGCATGGGTTACTGAAGATCAATTCGCACCCCGATCTTCACGTGCCGGAGTATGTTCCATTGATTATATTCACTCATGCTTGACAACAGTATAAGAGTCTACCGGTATACCAAAATGTCGCATCATAATATAATAAAGAAGTCATTATCCATAAAGTATCTTGCCTTTATTGTTCCAAAGCAGAATATTCAGAAGAAGACTGACTATATGCCTTCCGCATCTAGTGTAAGTTATACTGAGAAGGAAACATATTTTTAACTTACCTTACCATAGGTCTTATGCATATTACCTCAAGCTCCGCTTTAAAGAGATCAGACAGTCGCTGATTCGCCATTCTATAGAACGCCACCCTCGTATCGACGAAAGTGTACAGGCAACGGAAGTGACGCGGATCTCCTCCCGCCAAGCAAGCCGTCCATCCAAAATCACTTTTACTCAAGCCGCCTTGCTTGTCAGACGCTTTTGTTTCGCTAAGTTTTCAGACACTTACTAATAGATTTCAGATATTAAAGTTATTGGTATGTATGTTTTTCTATCTTATGTCTCTTCTCTGTGGGTGAAGAACATAATTTACAAGTAACTTCACTTACCTGGCTACCTCGGTTTATGTTTTCACTCGGGCTTGGGGTGTGTCCCCATCGCCCGAAGTTTTTTTCCACGGCATGTTTGGGTGTTTTGATACCCCTAGGGTTCTTCCACCTCTGTTTCATGCTTGTTTTTTGTGTACCTTCTTTTTCTTGCCTAATTTGTGTGTTTTTCACGCTTTTTCGCTCAGTGTGGGGCAGCCATCTTGGTTGTTTACACGACTGTCCCAATTTACTTGGGCGCGCCCATTCTTGTGGGAGGGTGCTTCCATTTTTCGCCTGCAGGGGTTGTTTCTAGGTTTTTACGCTTCACATTTGTGTGTTACAGCTTTGGTGTGCATGACCCGCAGTTTTGTTGCATCTGCAAGGTGCAGAAGTCTGCCAAGGACCCACACCCCTGGTGCCCAGACTGTGCGACTGTTGCCTGTTCCATTGACGAAGCGCTGTCACTTTTGTACTCCGCTGTCCGTCGCGAGATTTCAAGGCCTACCTCAGCGCTTAAGAAGAAACGCTTTGTCACAACGGAAGAGGAAAATGTCTTCCCCTGTTTCTTCTGTGGACTCCTCGGTCTTCTCCCCTCAGACGCCGGTCGGACGCTTCTTCTCCTGTGATAGATCAGCCGCCCACCCCTGCGCCTCGCTTGCTGACGCTTCGAAGCTGCCGCCTGACGCTTTGTTGACCTATCCCACCCGGACGCTTTGTCGCGATCCGAGGTTCAGAAGTTGCTTCGACGCCTTTGCCGGCAGCTGCCGGAGCCCAAGCTAGCACCGCTCCAGCGCCGCTGCTCAGCTTTGTCCCTGGCGCCGACGCCTGTGGCACTTGATTCTCCAGTTGCTGACTTGTTGCTTCAACCAACGCCGATGCCTACGCCGACGCTTCATGCGGACGCCGGCGCTTATGCCGACGCCGACGACGCTGACATGCTGACGCCGACGCTTGTACCGACGCCAGCGCCAGCGCCTAACTCCCGACGCTTTGGCAGACTACCGTATCCCCAGGAAGGCTACAGTGTCTAGAGAGGAGAACCTACAACGCCAGTTAATGGAAGAGCGCTCCTCGACGCCAGGACGCCGAAGCGCTCCATCGTTCTCGACGATCTCGCTCCAGGTCTCCTCGGCAGCATCATCGGTCTAGGAGTCCTCGCCTTAGTTCGATACTTTCTTCGCCGCCGGTCTGACTCAAGGTCTCGCCTCCGTGACGCTCCAAGGATAGGAGAGGCGCCACGGTCACCGATGCGTGGTAGGCGATACCGCCGGTCCCGCTCAAGGTCACCTCCTGTTCGCCGCCCGACGCCCACGCTCCCCGACAGTTACTTTGAGTGCTGCTTCAGTTGTCATCGGTAAGCGCCCAACCGGCCTGCTGCTTCGGGTCAACGATTTATTGTTCTACCGCGGTCCTGGGAGGACACTGAGGAGCTTATTTTTCTCCCGATTATAATGAGGAAATGTTGCAAGAGGATGATGATGATGGGGCACCTACCTCCCTCTCTCTGCTGTGTTCGACTGGATTGCCGACAGACTGCCGGATTGTCCTTCTCCCTCTTCAGGTTCGGCCGAATCAAGGCTATTCGTCTTCTCCGAGTTACTCCTCCCGCCACCACCCGATGGTGGCCGATGCTGTGGCTTCTTTGGACGCTGATTTTGCTACTTTGTCTCTCAATACCACGATAAAGGCTCCTAAGTCACGCAAAGGGGATTACAAGATTCATAGTTTGGATTTTGCCGATGGAGGCGCTGCTCATGACGAAGTCCCTCAAGCGCTTATCGGCTTCCCCACAGGCATCCTACCGAGTGCAGGACTCCAAGATGTTGGCCATTGATGCAGAACCTGCCGGATGTTGAAGCCGGTATCAGCGTTGGCCTCGCAACTTCGGGCTGCTGCTTGGGATCTGACGGAAGACAACACGCCAAGGTTAGAACATCTTACCACCCTGTTTCAATGGCAGGGCAAGGTGTTGCATGATTTGCTGGCGCACTCCGGCGGCTCTGGCCATGACAACGGTTGTTCGGGCGGATGGGTTTCCTGGAGCCCTGTTCTTGGCAGGAAGAGTTTAAAAGGAAACTGTTAAGAGCCCCTTTGCGCCTCGCTTCCTCTTTAATGACGGCATTCGAGGTGTATAAGGAACACGCAGAGCTTACCAATACGGAGGTTTCTTTGTCTACGCTCAAGCTTTGAGTTCGGGCCTTCGTGGCAGATCATCTGCAAGGGTAGAGGGAAGCGCCCGTTACGCCCCGGAGAAGAGACTCGTCCCCGCGACGCCTCTGGCAGAGGACGTGGGCCGGCAGATCCAACCTGTTTTTCAGCGCCCAGCAGGATTGTCCCTGGACCCCTTCGACGCCCGGCAGGGGTAGGGGAGGCGCCTTACTTCGGGTCGCTGAAGTTGCGACACCAACACGACTGGGACCTCCGCCCCAGTCGTGCCGGTTCGCCCTACTCCAGTAGGCGGAGACTGGGGATCTTCTGGCCCAATTGGACAATCCTGGAAGACCCGTTTATCACCAACATTCTCAGGACCGGTTACAAGCTGCCAATCGCCGTGTCGCGCTTCTGACTTCAACGCCCAGTCACGTGTGTATGCTCCAGACCAACAGTTACTGCTAGCAGACAGCATCCACACTCTGTTACGCTAAACAAGCTATAGAGACAGTGCTAGACCCCGACAGTCCTCGGGTTCTACTCACCAATCTTCCTGGTTCCCAAGAAGGACTCAGGGGAACTACACGATGATTCACAACATGGCAGTTTTCAACCACCTTTATCTTTCGAACCGCCTCACTTCCGCATGGTGTCCCTGGAACAGCTACGAGCCAAGCTTGCGCCCAGGGTCTGGTTGGCCAGCCTCGACCTTCAGGATGCCTACCTGCATTTGCCCATTTACCACCGTCACAGAAAGTACCTGAGGTTCTTTTTCAACGGGTCCCACTACCAGTGGAAAGTGCATCCATTTGGAATTTCCACGGCCCCGTGGCTTTTTACTCGGATTACCTCGCCGATCACCCAGTTCCTCCATCTCAGGGGCATCGACTTCGACCCTTATATAGACGACTGTCTCATGAACCACCTCGACCCTCAGTTGCTTCGCAAACAGATGCACTTTGCCATTCATCTCTTGCAGCAACTGGGATGGATTATCAACATAGACAAATCCCACCTGGAGCTGTCCCAGGAACTGACGCTTATAGGAGGCCTCTTCCTGACACATTGCGACCTTGTCAGGATTCCGCTAGATCGCTGGAGAAAGATTGTCAGTTTAAGCCAACCGAGGTCTATCCCAGCCGCCGTGCTCAGGGAGTGGCAGTCCCTCTTAGGTCTCCTCACCTCAGCCCAGGACTTGACGCCAGAGGTCGCTTTGATGCTTCGGGCCGCTACAGCTTCCTGTTGCCTTACATCCAGGCGGACGACCTTCAGTTGAGGTTCCTTTGCCCCTGCATCTCCACGCTTACCTCCGTTGGTGGACTGTCGAGTCGAACGCCTGCGCAGGAGTCTCCTTGACAGAGTTTGTTCACGCATCACTTAACTGTTAAGTAGACGCGTCTCTTCAAGGTTGGGGTGCTCACCTCAACGACCAGACCACCTCGGGCTGTGGTCAGGCACCGAAGCTAGGATGGCACATCAACAACTTGGAGCTGCAAGCAGTCATTTTAGCGGTTCGACACTGGGTGCCTCTGTTGCGGAACACCAGGCTCCTGATAGCGTCGGACAATTCCACGGTGGTGTGGTTGATTCACAATCAGGGAACGACCAGGTCCAAACAGTTGTTGGAGCAGACGTTCCAGCTGGCCAGTCTCCTGGACGACAATGGCATCAGCGCCAGAGCCCGACACATCCCAGGGTGCAAGAACGTTTTGGCAGACGCTCTCTCAAGGCCGGGCAAACCGTCTCCAACAGAGTGGATGCTACATCCAGAAGCGTTCAAACTTCTTTGTCACAGTCAGGGCCGCCCTCTGATCGACCTGTTTGCGACTCGCTTCAACACACAGCTGCCGTTGTACGTGTCTCCGATTCCAGATCCAGCGGCATGGGCGGTCGACGCCATGTCCTTGTCGTGGGAGGGTCTGGACGTGTACGCCTTTCCACCACCAGTTCTGTTGCCAGCGGTAATAGCAAAGGTCAAGCGGACAGAGACGATTCGTCTGCTTTTGGTCGCGCCTTGGTGGCCAGCCAGAACCTGGTTCCCAGATCTGCGCCGTCTCGCCGAAAGAAGTCCGCAACAGTTACCAGACTGGCCTCACCTGCTCAGGCATCCCCACAGTCGATAGTGGCATCCCGATCCGACTCGAGTTCATCTGTGCGGTTGGATCATCTGCAAAAGGCGCTGAAGGCCAAGGGCTTCTCCACGGGTGTCGCCAAGGTTATTGCTCGTGCTCATCGAGTCTCCACAAGATCACTCTATGATGATAAGTGGGTTTCTTTTGAGAAGTTTTGTGCACAGAAGTCCAAGGACCCGTTGAAGGCTTCTCCTCAGTTTATAGCAGAGTTCCTTCTCTTTCTTCGGAAGTCCCGGCGTCTCAAGGGCAACACTATAGGAACTTATTTATCGGCTCTTAACTCCGCTCTGGCGGTCAAGCGCGACAAAAAGATTTCCAAGGTGCCAGAACTCATCGCCGCCCTCAAAGCGTTTAAGCTGGAGGACCAGAAGGCAAAGCTCCGATCCTCCCGCTTGGGACCTAAACGTCGTTTCTTCGCCATCTGAGAGGTCCCCTTATGAGCCCTTAGACACGGCTTCTTTGAGAACCTCTCCTGGAAGACAGCCTTTCGTGGCCCTGGCCACAGCAGCTAGGGTTAGTGAGATCCACGCATTGGATGTCACCAGGGTGCGCTTTGAGCAGTCACGGCATGGTCTTGTTCATCTCGGACTGCTTTGGGATTTCGTGGCCAAGAACCAGCTGCCGGACAACCGGATAGGATCTTCTCCATCCCTCCTTTGTCCTCCATTCTAGGACCTCACCACGCTGAGGAACAGCTGCTTTGTCCCGTGAGGGCACTTAAGATTTATATTGCCAAGTCATCTTCCAGGAGGCAGTCTCGTAAGAGACTGTTCATCCCGCTTGTCTTCTGTGGCCAAAGGTGAAGTTAATAAGAATACGCTTGCGCCTGGCTCCGCATTTACTACCATCCTGACCGCCACGATCGCGCAAGATCTGCCTCATCCTACAGCCACTAATCCGCATGAGATTAGGGCTCTGGCATCCACCATGGCTCTCCACAGAAACTGCACCGCTCCAGCCATCATGGAGGGTTGTTTTGGAAGTCCTCTACTGTCTTCGCTAGTCATTACCTCATGGATTTGGCCGTCGAGGACGGAAGGTCTTCAATCGTTTGGTCCACTGGTGGTTGCTCAGCAACTCACCCATCCTACCGCCCATTAGGTAACTACTTCTTCTTACCTTCTGGTCTTCAGGTTAACTTACACTCTGGGTGTATTTGTTTTCCTTAGGGTTGCCTTTAGTTACTATCTGTCTCCTGTTCCAGGCGCCTCCTGCGACAGTCTGGCGATTCAGTAGTTTCTTCTGGTTTTCCCTTGGCATGTGGGTTTTTCGTGGGACGGTCCTCTGGAGCCCGACTAATCACTGGCCCTACTGTCGAATCCATATGCATAAGACCTATGGTAAGGTAAGTTAAAAATTTATTAAAATCTAAATATTTTAGATATTTAAATACTTACCTTACCATAGGGCGGTAACTCCCTCCCAACGCTGGATGCTCCTCCCCTCTCTGGGCTCTTCGGACCTGGTCAGTAAAAGTGATTTTGGATGGAGCGGGAGGGGAGATCACGTCACTTCCGTTGCCTGTACACTCGTCGATACACGAGGTGGCCGTTCTATAGAATGGCGAATCAACGACTGTCTGATCTCTTTAAGCGGAGCTTGAGGTAATATGCATAAGACCTATGGTAAGGTAAGTATTTAAATATCTAAAATATTTAGATTTTAATAATTTGACCTGTAGTTGTATCTTAATTTTCACCTGAAATTAAATTGTTGCTTTTGCTTGTTTTGTACTTGTAGTTTTATCAGAAGTTTTACTAGTAGTTTTACATGCAGTTTAACCTGTAGTCTCTATGTCTTGTTTAATCAGAAGATATATGTAGTGGTCTGCAATATGTCATTCTCTGTCATGTTTATTTCAGGACTTGAGTGCCATGGCCTTCCGCTTCAAGGATAAGGAACGTCCACGGGGCTATGTCAGTTCTCTGTCAGGGATGATTCATGTAAGTCTGTGAGTGAGTGAGTTTAGTTTCATGCCGGTTTTAGCATTATTCCAACAATATCATGGAGAGGGAAACCAGATAAGGGCTTCACTCATTGTGCCCGTGTGGGGAACCTGGCCCCGATTTCTCGAAACAAACTTAAGTTTTTGTTCACATTTCAAACTGAGTTTGACAATTTGAAACACCTGAATTTTTAACTCAACTGCATTTTTAAAATAGAAAAGCCCATACAACGTAAGTAATCTATCCTCCAAACTCAAATTGTCTACTATGTTTCAGTTTGATATCGATTTTAGTTCAATCTGGGAAATGCATTTTCTCAAATTTGAGTAAAAACTCTAACTTAAGTCAAAACTCAGACTTAAGTTTGTTTCGAGAAATCGGGGCCTGATCTCCTGCGTGACGAGCATGTCATGTACAAAATCAACGATGACAGCAACAACCTAGTATACGTGTGTACGATGCTCCCCCCCTAAACAAAATAGATTAAAATTTAAAAAAAAAATTAAACAATGGGGGACGCCCCCTTAAAATCATAATCACCCCCGTAGTCATAGATAATGAACGGTCCCTTAACCACTAGACTACCCTACCACCTCTGTAAGTCTGTGTACATGTTGGTGTGTAATGTGGATCATCTGAAGGGATACATCACTTCTCTGTCAGGGAAGACTTATGTAAGTCTGTGTACATGTTGGTGTTTAATGTGGATCATCTGAAGGGATACATCACTTCTCTGTCAGGGAAGACTTATGTAAGTCTGTGTACATGTTGGTGTTTAATGTGGATCATCTGAAGAGATACATCACTTCTCTGTCAGGGAAGACTTATGTAAGTCTGTGTACATGTCGGTGTTTAATGTGGTTAAGGTGTATGGTCCACTGTCTCTCTCTGTAGGATTACCGGATGCCAGAAGTTCTGAGTGGGAGCTACACAGTGACAGAGTACAAGCCGGACCTCGTCCAGTTGGTCATAGACAAGCTTGTGCCAGAAAACATGAAGTGAGTTGAAGGAAACAATACGTATATATAGAGAATACTACACGAGGTCTCATTACATACGAATTATACGAAACGAGTGTCCTTCCTATGGTATCTGACCGATCGAAAGCGGGGTCAGATAACATAGGAAGGTCACACAGTTTCAGATAATCGTATGTAATGAGACCGAGAGTGGTATTTTATTTATTACCCACGTCTTACATACATTTAAATTGACAAAATAGCGTATTTTTGTTATGTTTTTTGTTTCAAACCGAAACCGGTTTCATAAAGAGGTTGCGGAAGAGTTTTGTACTGTAGTACAATATTTGCATGACGTCACACTAATGACGCCACTGCCATGGTAACCGACGTCACGATGCATGTCAGTTGTCATCGCCTCGTACAGCCTCCTACAGTAAACTTCTCCGTTGCACCTCGTTTCTTGGTTTCCAGTTGCTTCATTCGGCTAACATCACTGGTGGAAACATTGCGTTTATGTTTTTCGACAGATATAATGTCTCAGTTCGACTCACAATTAAACAGCGACACGGCAACGTTCGCAATGTTTACATTCCCACAATGCATTTAAGTTGTAGAATGAATGAATTCACGTTTTTGTTATGAATGAAAAAATAGTTACGTCAGAATGTGACCTAATTGAGAGGTCATCGGTTATCCAATCAAATCGTTAGAATTTCAGGTCAAGTCGTTACGACACAGGTCAACGCGATACGACACTCGTGTGACGTACGAGATAAATATGCAACTACCCATACGTTGACCACGTGGGTAATAAAAGTGATTATGCCATTTCTCAGATAGGTCCAACAACAGATGTCTGACTGTTTGCAATGAAATTTAAGATCTGCTTAAGATGCCAGTACCATATTCACATTATGAGTCCTGGCTACCAAACGTGTATTTGTCATTAAAAAAATGTGAAATGTCTGCATCAGATAATTGAATAAAGAAAATTGTTACATGTGACGTTCCTTCATCATGTTTACAGATGCATCATCATTGCTCAGAAATTTAAAGGGATGACAGACCAGAAGGAGAAGTGGTACGGTACAGACTACAGTGAGTCAAGTATACCTGCAGAGATGATTAGGGTAAGTCGATAGTGAGTCAAGTATACCTGCAGAGATGATTAGGGTTAGTCGACAGTGAGTCAAGTATACCTGCAGAGATGATTAGGGTAAGTCGACAGTGAGTCAAGTATACCGGCAGAGATGATTAGGGTAAGACTACAGTGAGTCAAGTATACCCGCAGAGATGATTAGGGTAAGTCGACAGTGAGTCAAGTATACCTGCAGAGATGATTAGGGTAAGTCGACAGTGAGTCAAGTATACCTGCAGAGATGATTAGGGTAAGACTACAGTGAGTCAAGTATACCTGCAGAGATGATTAGGGTAAGTCTACAGTGAGTCAAGTATACCTGCAGAGATGATTAGGGTAAGACTACAGTGAGTCAAGTATACCTGCAGAGATGATTAGCGTAAGTCGACAGTGAGTCAAGTATACCTGCAGAGATGATTAGGGTAAGACTACAGTGAGTCAAGTATACCTGCAGAGATGATTAGGGTAAGTCTACAGTGAGTCAAGTATACCTGCAGAGATGATTAGGGTAAGACTACAGTGAGTCAAGTATACCTGCAGAGATAATTAGGGTAAGTCGACAGTGTGTCAAGTATACCTGCAGAGATAATTAGGGTAAGACTACAGTGAGTCAAGTAGACCTGCAGAGATAATTAGGGTAAGACTACAGTGAGTCAAGTATACCCGCAGAGATGATTAGGGTAAGTCGACAGTGAGTCAAGTATACTTCCAAAGATGATTAGGGTAAGACTACAGTGAGTCAAGTATACCTGCAGAGATGATTAGGGTAAGTAGACAGTGTGTCAAGTATACCCGCAGAGATGATTAGGGTAAGACGACAGTGAGTCAAGTATACTTCCAGAGATGATTAGGGTAAGACTACAGTGTGTGAAGTATACCTGCAGAGATGATTAAGGTAAGACTACAGTGTGTGAAGTATACCTGCAGAGATGATTAAGGTAAGTCTACAGTGTGTCATGTGTACCTCCAGAGAGATGTTACAGTTAGTTGATATCGAGCCATGTGTACGTCCCGAGATGACCCACTCTGTGATATGGCTGAAAGAGTATGCAGAGTTCAACTGTTAATCACTCCTTTCAATCCATTCAGTATTTCCTTATGTACATATGATCAGATAATCACTTCTTGTGTCGTGTAATGTATTACACGAAGTTTCACCTGTGTATCATTTTAACTAACTGTCTGTTGTTTTTCAGAAATGGAGTGATTGTGGATTGCATGAAAGTCTCCGTCTGCCTCAGAGAAATGAATTCATTCCAACAAATTTTGACATTGTCACACGGGAGCCAGAGGTAAATGTCTCCAAATGTAGACAAATGAGCTATACGGAACACATGACACATATATTCAACAAAGTTTCAAAACTAATATTAAAGTCTCCATTAACTAAAGTCTCACTGAATAGTACTTGAGGGAGAAACTTGTAGAAGTTTGCTAAAGCAATGTAACTTGTTTTTATCTCCAGTTTATACATTGAGTGATGATCAGTCATAGTAATACACTTTATGTTTCAGTCCTCTGCTGTTCCTGATATAATTAGGGTATGTATTTTCATTCACGTTTCTTTCTTGATACCCTTTTTCTTTTGCACCCTTTTCCCATCACACTGGAGGACCATTGTCAGCAGATTTGACCTAAACAAGCCTTCAATCAACAGAGACCTAGGATATCTCATCCCATCTGCCTACAGTTGGCTTTCTCCAGTTGTTACTTCATTAATTACCAATATCCATTGTTGTTGTAGCAAATTCTAAAATGCCAATCAAAGAAATCACAATGGATTATGACAAATTGTATGATGAAAAACGTTTGAAATTTGAATCATTTTACATATATTATGTGGACCCACTGCCCTGAATTATTAGTGTCAAATTTGTCAAATAACTCAGAAGACTTGGTTGGTTTCAGATATCTTTGATAATTTCGTTCCAGGCATCGAGCCATTGTATCATGTGTTTGCAGACATCAATGTAGTCTATGGGGTGTCATGTTTTAGGCCAAGGATGGGGTGCATGAAAAAGTTTGTAGTGAAAGTAGACTTGCAGGTGCTTCTTGGGGACCATCAAATGTTCAAATTGAAAGAGATGTGTTTTCTGATTGCTATGATCCTTCCTGAGTAATGAATCCAAATAAAGGATCGAAACAACTGATTGCAGGATGATGCTATGTGCCGATTCTGGTTCAAGCAAGATGATGAGTTCCTCCTACCTAAAGCCTGCATGACATTTGAGATCAAAAGGTGAGTCAAGATTTACTGGCATTCCTGATTGGTGACATGGATCAGTGTGTTACTGATAACAGTCATGTTTGACGATCTACCTTAGAACTGGCTGTAAGAGGTGACTAACAGGTTTTGGTGGTCAGACTCACTGACTTGTTTGATGTGTGTCATTTTATGTGATTTATGTAGGTTGATGTGCATGATGTCAGTCACAGGATTGACTGATCTAACTCAGTTCCATTTACAAATCTCCGTGTAACACTTAGTATTTGAGAGCCCACACCCTCAGATTCTTGTTCTTCTGTTGGGTTGGGTCACGTCCGGGATTCAAACCCACACCCTCAGATTCTAGTACTTCTATGGGCTGGGTCACATCCGGGATTCGAACCCACACCCTCAGAGTCGGACAACTAATCGCCAACACACAAAGTCAACTGTCTAACCCACTCAACCGCCATGGCTTCCACTGGCAAGTGGAGTGTGCTGTTGATTAGGGTGTGGGTGTGGGTTCGAATCCCGGACGGGACCCAACCCAACAAAAGAACTAGAATCTGTACTTAACTGAGAAAGTGTAATGCCATATATATCATGTGTTACATTTGACTACTTTCTACATGGCATTGTGTACTCTATCATACAGCTGGAATATTGCTGAGTGCAACAGAAACAACAAACAAACATGTTAAACAACAGTAAATGAATCAATATTGAGCAGTTTTCAGGTGATAGAGTGGATTCTACACAAACAATTACTTGTATACTAAATTTCCATTGTAATATCCGGTTCCCAATTGTGCAGATGGATGCTCATGCTGTTGATCACTGGATTGTCTGGTCCAAACTCAATTATTTACAGACTGCCGCCATATAGCTGGAATATTGCTGAGTGCGGCTTAAACTAAACTCACTCACTCACTCATTGTAATATCTCTGATTTCTGCTTTTTGCTTATAGTAGCATATAATCTATTTCTCAAAAGCTTAAATTCTTTACAAGTACAGATTTTGTCTTCTTGGTATGTGATATGTCTGTTTCTCTTCCATTTTCCGTAGCGTACATATGAGATTCTATTTGAGGATGTGTTTGTAGACGTCCTTGCTGTCACTGTTGTAGCTCCTATGCCTACATAGACCCGCTTCACGCCAACATGAACAGCCTGCTGATGCTGCTGTTTAAGGATGCTGTCAATGAGTATGCCTACGATGCTGAGCTGGCCGGACTGGGGTACAACCTTGACAATACCATGTATGGAATGACGGTCAGTGTGGGGTGGGGATAGTGTGGGTTGGGAGATGGTGAGGTGGGGTACAACCTTGATAATACCATGTATGGAATGACGGTCAGTGTGGGTTGGGAGATGGTGAGGTGGGGTACAACCTTGACAACACCATGTATGGAATGACGGTCAGTGTGGGGTGGGAGGTGGTGAGGTGGGGTACAACCTTGACAACACCATGTATGGAATGATGGTCAGTGTGGGGTAGGGATAGTGAGGGGTCAGAGGTGGTGAGGGGGGTACAACTTTGACAACACCATGTATGGAATGACGGTCAGTGTGGGTTGGAGGTGGTGAGGTGGGGTACAACCTTGACAACACCATGTATGGAAATGACGGTCAGTGTGGGGTGGGGATAGTGAGGGGTGGGAGGTGGTGAGGTGGGGTACAACCTTGACAACACCATGTATGGAATGACTGTGAGTGTGGGTGGAGATAGTGAGGGTGGGAGGTGGTGAGGTGGGGTACAACCTTGACAACACCATGTATGGAATGATGGTCAGTGTGGGGTAGGGATAGTGAGGGGTGGGAGGTGGTGAGGTGGGGTACAATCCTGACAACACCATGTATGGAATGACGGTGAGTGTGGGTGGGGATAGTGAGGGGTGAGAGGTGGTGAGGTGGGGTACAGCCTTGACAACACCATGTATGGAATGACGGTCAGTGTGGGGTGGGAGGTGGTGAGGTGGGGTACAACTTTGACAACACCATGTATGGAATGACGGTCAGTGTGGGGTGGGGATAGTGTGGGGTGGAGGTGGTGAGGTGGGGTACAACCTTGACAATACCATGTATGGAATGACGGTCAGTGTGGGTTGGGAGATGGTGAGTGGGGGTACAGCCTTGACAACACCATGTATGGAATGACGGTCAGTGTGGGGTGGGGGGGTGGGAGGTGGGGTACAGCCTTGACAACACCATGTATGGAATGATGGTGAGTGTGGGTGGGGATAGTGAGGGGTGGGAGGTGGTGAGGGGGGTACAACTTTGACAACACCATGTATGGAATGGCCGGTCAGTGTGGGTGGGGAGGTGGTGAGGTGGGGTACAACCTTGACAACACCATGTATGGAATGAGGCCGGTCAGTGTGGGGTGGGGATAGTGAGGGGTGGAGGTGGTGAGGTGGGGGGGTACAACCTTGACAATACCATGTATGGAATGATGTAATGGGTCAGTGTGGGTTGGGAGATGGTGAGGGTGGGGTACAACCTTGACAACACCATGTATGGAATACGCGGTCAGTGTTGGTGGGGATAGTGAGGGGTGGGAGGTGGTGAGGGGGTACAACTTTGACAACACCATGTATGGAATGACGGTCAGTGTGGGTGGGAGGTGGTGAGGTGGGGGTACAACCTTGACAACACCATGTATGGAATGACAGTCAGTGTGGGGTGGGGATAGTGAGGGGTGGGAGGTGGCGAGGTGGGGTACAACCTTGACAACACCATGTATGGAATAGCCGGTCAGTGTGGGGTGGGGGAGGTGGTGAGGTGGGGTACAACCTTGACAACACCATGTATGGAATGATGGTCAGTGTGGGGTGGGTGGTGGTGAGGTGGGGTACAACTTTGACAACACCATGTATGGAATGGCTGGTCAGTGTGGGGTGGGGATAGTGAGGGTGGGTGGTGGTGGTGAGGTGGGGTACAACCTTGACAACACCATGTATGGAATGATGGTCAGTGTGGGGTAGGGATAGTGAGGGGTGGGAGGTGGTGGTGAGGTGGGGTACAATCCCTTGACAACACCATGTATGGAATGGCCGGTGAGTGTGGGTGGGGATAGTGAGGGGTGAGAGGTGGTGAGGTGGGGTACAGCCTTGACAACACCATGTATGGAATGGCGGGTCAGTGTGGGGTGGGGATAGTGTGGGGTGGGAGGTGGTGAGGTGGGGTACAACTTTGACAACACCATGTATGGAATAGCTGGTCAGTGTGGGGGTGGGGATAGTGTGGGGTGGGAGGTGGTGAGGTGGGGTACAACCTTGACACTATACCATGTATGGAATAGCGGTCAGTGTGGGTTGGGAGATGGTGAGGTGGGGGTACAACCTTACAACACAACACCATGTATGGAATGACAGTGTGGGGTCAGTGTGGGAGTGGGGAGAGGTGGGGTACAGCCTTGACAACACCATGTATGGAATGGCCCGGTGAGTGTGGGTGGGGATAGTGAGGGGTGGGAGGTGGTGAGGTGGGGTACAACTTTGACAACACCATGTATGGAATGACGGTCAGTGTGGGGTGGGTGGAGGTGGGTGAGGTGAGGTGGGGTACAACCTTGACAACACCATGTATGGAATGACGGTCAGTGTGGGTGAGGGATAGTGAGGGGTGGGAGGTGGTGAGGTGGGGTACAACCTTGACAATACCATGTATGGAATGACGGTCAGTGTGGGTTAGGGAGATGGTGAGGTGGGGTACAACCTTGACAACACCATGTATGGAATGACGGTCAGTGTTGGTGGGGATAGTGAGGGGTGGGAGGTGGTGAGGGGGCACAACTTTGACAACACCATGTATGGAATGACTGGGTCAGTGTCAGTGTGGGTGGGGGGTGGTGGTGAGGTGGGGTACAACCTTGACAACACCATGTATGGAATGACAGTCAGTGTGGGGTGGGGATAGTGAGGGGTGGGAGAGGTGGGAGGTGGGGTACAACCTTGACAACACCATGTATGGAATGGGAGGTGGTGGGAGGTGGTGAGGTGGGGTACAACCTTGACAACACCATGTATGGAATGACGGTCAGTGTGGGGTGGGGATAGTGTGGGGTGGGTGAGGGGTGGTGAGGTGGGGTACAACTTTGACAACACCATGTATGGAATGACGGTCAGTGTGGGGTGGGGATAGTGAGGGGTGGGTGGTGGTGAGGTGGGGTACAACCTTGACAACACCATGTATGGAATGACTGTGAGTGTGGGGTGGGAGTTGGTGAGGTGGGGTACAACCTTGACAACACCATGTATGGAATGAGGGTCAGTGTGGACAGGGGATAGAATACTTGATATTTGAATTATGTTAGTATTGAGAAATTGTATAGTACTGAGAAATCCTCAACTTGATTCGAAAAACTGACGTGAGTGTAACAGATTCAAGTTGTGGGTGAAATTGTCTGGTTAAACATGTTCCTTTAGTGCATATAGAAATATTTTACAATGATCAGGTATCAAAGCTGTAAATTTTTGCTGATGAGACAAGATTTTGTATAACGTAACCACAGTCACCAGAATGTGGTGGTGTTTTGATTAGATTTAGATATGAGTTGAGTGTCAATATTTCCATGTGTGGTACGTACAGTGACGTTGAATAGCATGATAAGTCTTGATGTGTATCATCAAGAATGTATTGTGACCTGGCGTTAGCTACTTCTTGTGCCCTGTTACATATCAAAGTGTGAGTCTCTGTGTCCTGCCTGCAGTTGTCCGTCAAGGGTTACAGTGACAAGCTCCATGTGCTGCTACAGAAGATCGTCGAGCGTTTCACCACCTACACCGTGGATCCCAAACGTTACGAGATCATCAAAGAGTTGGTGAGTCAGACTCTGACATCAATAATTAGCAATTGCAATGTATGTATGGAAAGATGCTGATCATATTATGACCGTGGAACAATTTTTCGGTTTGACATTGATTGCACTAAATGAAAAATTAAAGTAAAAATGTCATGATTCAATTTTAGTCTACCTTGTAACCTACTAATATGACCTCAAGATAAGGGTCAACATTGATAGTAATATCAATAATAATGATCAATGAGGGAAGGTTTCCTGTCCAAAACTTCATAATGTAGAGGCTTCTTTGATATGTCTGCAGTATTGCTGAAAGCAGCATAAGCCCTTATGTATGTAACTCAGGTGTGGCATGCCCACTCAGGTATGCCCACCCACACAGGTATCCACTTATGTATGACCCCAACCACACAGGTATCCGCTCAGGTATGCCCCACCCACACAGGTATCCACTCAGGTATGCCCCAACCCACACAGGTATCCACTCAGGTATGCCCCAACCCACACAGGTATCCGCTCAGGTATGCCCCACCCACACAGGTATCCACTTATGTATGACCCTACCCACACAGGTATCCACTCAGATATGCCCCACCCACACAGGTATCCACTCAGGTATGCCCCCACCCACACAGGTATCCACTCAGGTATGCCCCACCCACACAGGTATCCACTCAGGTATGCCCCACCCACACAGGTATCCACTCAGTTATATACTCCCACTGATGTATGTACCCACTCAGGTATGCCCCACCCACACAGGTATCCATTCAGGTATGCCCCACCCACACAGGTATCCACTCAGGTATGCCCCACCCACACAGGTATCCACTCAGGTATGCCCCATCCACACAGGTATCCACTCAGGTATGCCCCCACCCACACAGGTATCCACTCAGGTATGCCCCCCCCACCCACACAGGTATCCACTCAGGTATGCCCCACCCACACAGGTATCCACTCAGGTATGCCCCACCCACACAGGTATCCACTCAGGTATGCCCCACCCACACAGGTATCCACTCAGGTATGCCCCACCCACACAGGTATCCACTCAGGTATGCCCCCACCCACACAGGTATCCACTCAGGTATGCCCCACCCACACAGGTATCCACTCAGGTATGCCCCACCCACACAGGTATCCACTCAGGTATGCCCCACCCACACAGGTATCCACTCAGGTATGCCCCCACCCACACAGGTATCCACTCAGGTATGCCCCACCCACACAGGTATCCACTCAGTTATATACTCCCACTGATGTATGTACCCACTCAGGTATGCCCCACCCACACAGGTATCCACTCAGGTATGCCCCACCCACACAGATATCCACTCAGTTATATACTCCCACTGATGTATGTACCCACTCAGGTATGCCCCCATCCAATGCAGGTATCCACTCAGGTATGCCCCACCCACACAGGTATACCTTCAGGTATGCCCCCACCCACACAGGTTTCAACTCAGGTATGCCCCACCCACACAGGTATCCGCTCAGTTATATACTCCCACTGATGTATGTACCCACTCAGGTATGCCCCACCCTCACAGGTATCCATTCAGGTAAGCCCTGCCCACACAGGTATCCACTCAGGTATGCCCCACCCACACAGGTATCCACTCAGTTATATACTCCCACTGATGTATGTACCCACTCAGGTATGCCCCCATCCAATGCAGATACCCACTAGGTATCTGCTAAGGTATGCCCCAACCGACTTATGTACGTTATATATACACATGTGTGTGTTGCCTTCAGTACTACCGAGGGCTGAAGAACTTTGTGGCAGAGCAGCCTCACCAGCACGCTATCTACTTCACCTCCGTCCTTGTGTCTGAGATGGTCTGGACAAAGTGTGAACTTCTGGAGTCATTAGATGGTCAGTTTGTCTTGGTTCTCATCATGATTAATCACATAACACATGACAGTATGTGTAATAATGTTGCATTAAACACTCTGATGAGTTTTAGTGTGTGTATTATATATGAAGACATTTAAGAACAGATCCTATGGCTGCTAGTAACTTTGAAAAGGATTGATGCTTATTAAGTGAGAAAGTGGTGTATCCTAGCAAATATTCTGCAATATTTCAGTTGCATTTGGGTGAACATTTTCAGAATAGAATATACATCTGATATGCACTGTAGTGGGAGAGCTGATGTTGTTTTATAAACCATACCCAATGATGTACATATGAATTAAGATAACATTGATGTAGCTCCTGATAGTGATATTTGTCATGTGATGATGTGAGTCTTGCCTGATGTACAGATGTGACGCTGGAGGGACTCCAGGCCTTCATTCCCCAGCTGCTGTCCAAGGTCTACGTGGAAGGTCTCATGTACGGAAACATCACTAAACAGGTGCTTGTTGTTTCTTGTATTGGTGGAGAATAGAAATGATCAGCTAGTCTTTCCTTAATCATGATTAGGCTGGCCTATGGTTGCTCACATCTGACTTGCATAGAATTCAGATTAATATGCTGGTACACATGTGTTTATAGTTAGTTTATTTTCAAAGAATACTAAATATTTCCTAAAAAATTGAGCCTTATGTAGATAAAATATGATGAGTATTTCTTACGAGAAATAACGCAATGATTTTGACAATGATATTTTTGGTGGAACTGTTTATTTACAACATTTACCTGTCAACTTCAGCGGGCTCTGGAGATCGGTACCATGATAGAGACAATACTTCGTGAAAAGAGTGGCTCAAAACCACTTCTGCCGAGTCAGCACAAACGAACACGGGAATTACAGCTGCCTGATGGTATGGAGTGTGGGTGATGGAAGGAGGGAGGGAGGGATCTGTGTACAGTGTGGTGGTATGTGGGTTGGGTAAGATGAGAAGAAACCAGCTCAATCGTGATGTGGACACTTTTCACCTGAACATTTATGTTAATTCCAATTTGAACGAGAATTTAATTAGTGTCATTGAAATAAACTCTGTATGTTTTCTTTATATCTAATGTAAATTTTATAATTTTACAACAAAGTCAAAATTATTAACAAGGGAACCACTTCACATGGATACAACTTGTTACCTTAAAATATTCAAGCCTTTATTGTGATAACGGATAAGGACCCACTAAGAAACTTTACTGTTGATTGCTTGACATTAGTCAAACTGACAATGGTGCATATTTGCATTCCTGCTTAATCCTGTCATGTGTCGTGTGCCATGTGTCATGTGTCTTGTATCATGTACATCATGTTGTCCTGCTGCAGGCTGCTACTACATGTACGAGCAGACCAACACGGTTCACAGCGGGTCGTGTATTGAGATCTACTACCAGTGTGGCCGCCAGGACACAACACTCAACATGCAGCTGGAACTCTTCTCCCAGATCATCAGTGAGCCCTGCTTCAACATCCTCCGGACCCAGGAACAGTTAGGTGACTACAACAACAACATTACAACGCTTTTTACTCAGTTATGTTGAGTATCGATAAAGAAAGTGATGTGAAAATTGAGATTGTCCCTTGCTCCCTCAATAAAATGACACAGTTTGACTTGGAAGTACCCACTTTATTTTCATGTTCACAACACGTGAAACAATGACAACATAGAAACAATGTGACTGAGAGCAACATGTAGAGACTTCTCACCAGGTTCAGCTGCAGGTCATTTCACACGGAGGTGCGGTGGGGTAGCCTAGTGGTTAAAGCGTTGACTTGTCACGCCGAGGACCCGGGTTCGAATCCCCACATGGGTACAATGTGTGAAGCCCATTTCTGGTGTCCCCCGCCATTATGTTGCTGGAATATTGCTAAAAGCGGCGTAAAACCAAAACTCAGTCAGTCAGTCATTTCACACGGGCTGTTATGACAGGTGTCAGTCATGCTTGATGCATGTATGATGTATGTTCTTGGCAACTTTGTTAGATATTGGCTGATTTATCTGACTGCATATAGATGTCGTATAGGAAGATGAAAATTCGCCATGACAACATGTACTAACTTACCTGTGGAGGAGGTACAGAAGTCCTTGTGGCATGTTGCAGTAGTATTTGATTCTAGGGAATATAATTCTTTAGTGTTTAACTATAGGGTTGTGGCAAGGATTTTCACCCCTGCCATAGGTGTAGCTATCTGATGATATTGGAACAGGATTGTATTACAATGAATGTGTGTGGTCTTCAGGCTATATAGTGTTCAGTGGTCTGCGTCGGTCCAGTGGCGTCCAGGGCCTCCGTGTGATCGTCCAGTCAGACAGACAGCCATCCTTTGTGGAATCTCGGGTTGAAGCCTTCCTCAAGACTATTGATGTAAGTACTGTAGTGTATTATCCTGAGGAGAGTCAGGGTCACACTAGGTCCCAAGTCTCTAATGGTTGCAGTAAGGTAGATTACTGTGGATCTAGTTGTTGTAATGTCATTGTTCACAAACAACAGAACCAAGGTTTGCTCAGTCTTCAAAAGGCTTTGAAGTAACAATCCAGTCTTGATAACTCTTTGAATTTGGATCTGTGTTGGAGAGGCAGTTTGGCCCTTCACTTTAAATGCTTTAGATTCTGGAAATGAAAAGGCTTTAAATATTTAATTTGAGGCCTTAATTTAAGTTTTTATAAAAGTAACTTGATCAATAAATAGTATGAAAACACTTCTTTACTGGGCATTTTAGAAGTTGAGTTGATGAAGAATGATGACAATTTTGATGGATATACAACTTCTTTATTCTGTGAATGGTGACGTTTCAACATAGATTCTACATCACTTGCTTGACAACACCATGTCGAAACGTCGCCCTTCACAGAATAAAAGAAGTTGTATATCCATAAATATTGTCATCATTCTTCAGTATGAAAACAATAGTGAACTTTATTACTTTAGTACTGTCTTTAGATGTACAAATGAAGACAATGAAATACAGTAGCAATGTCTTAATGTGTGTTGGCACACTCCAGACTTATCTTTAAGTCTAAAGATGACCACTGTCCTGAATAGAAAAGAATCCTTATAGGTCGTGGCTAAAATTAGTATTGACTGTGGGATTGTTTCCCAGCCATCTGGTTGCTGGTAGCCTTGCTTGGCTATTTACAAGTGCCAATGACATAACTAGAGTGTTGCTGTCAGGAGTGTGGCTCAAAGGAACATTCACTTACTATGAAAACAGATTGAATGCATAGTAACCCTGTCTTTCCCAGCTGGAATGACTGATACATTTTGGTCAATAGTGCAGTGATACTGTTGGAACTATTTCTGTGTGTAGGACTATATCAACAAGATGAGTGAAGAGGAGTTTGCCAAGCACGTGAAGGCTCTGGCAGCAAAACGATTGGAGAAACCCAAGAAGCTATCTGTGCTGAATGGCAAGTTCTGGGGAGAGATCATCTCCGAGCAGTACCACTTTGACAGAGGTGAGTGTTGTCATGGAGGGTGTTGTTATACATGAGTGAGGATAGAGGGTGGCCTAGTGTTTTAAGTGTCTGTTGATCATGCTGAGTGAGTGAGTGAGTGAGCGAGTATGGTTTTACGCCGCCACTTTTAGCAATATTCAAGCAATATCATGGCCGGGAACTCAAGACATGGGCTTCACACATTGTACACAAGTAGGAAATCAAACCGCCACTGATCCTGCTGAAGGCCCAGTTTGATCCCCAATGGGTACAATTTCACCTCAGGCAGCCTAACAAGATATGGCTGGAATGTTTCAAAATACACACTCACTTGCTCACTCACTGACTCACTGTCTCACACACCCTCTTCCTGTGTGTATACACGTGTGCAGAGTTGCCTCCCTTAAGCATTCTCCAGAATCCTATAATTATTCCAGAATTGATTACATTTGTTTGATTGTGAGCACTGTAGCCATGTTTTGTGGGTTTCACAAAAGTGGTAAACATCTAGGACCTATATCACGAAAGGTTTTCTCCTACATCAAGCTGACATACTGTAATACAACTGAATTACTGTTCAAAGCAGAATTAAACCAAAGTCACTCACTCCATCCTGTATTCATTTCTTGGCACCGATGAAGTTCCGGGCTAGAATGGATATTCAGCTTGCCCTTAACCCTGAAAAGCTGCAGGCCCTGATGACCCAGAACCAAAATAAAATTGTGGGTCCTGATCAGAATGTGTAGGCCCTATTTTATAATATGGAAATAATACTCTTAGTTATTAGGGATGAATAAGTTGTTGGCCAAAAGGACCTGCTGAAAAGAAAAGCTGTTGGTCCGAGTGGTTTCCAGTTGGCTCCGGGCCTAAGGACCAATGTTAATTTCGAACGCTGTCAGTAACCCATGTTTGTTGTAAGAGGCGACGAACGGGATCGGTTGGTCAGGCTTGCTGACTTGGTTGGCACATGTCATCGTATCCCAATTGCTAAATCGATGCTCAGTCTGTTGATCACTGGATCGTCTGGTCCAGACTTGATTATTTACAGACCACCGCCATATAGCTGGAATATTGCTGAGTGCTGCATAAAACTAAACTCACTCACTCATTTCTTGACACCAGTCATAGAAATTCACCAACTCTTTATGAATCACTTCATCTGTATTGTTCCCACTGCTGTTGCTTGTATTGAGTGCTAGGAATTGGTAATGTTAAGTTGACAAGTAAAGCATGTATGTTTGTATTTAGATAATGTGGAAGTAGCATATTTGAAGACTCTCAGCAAGGACGATCTATACACATTTTACAAGGTAAGTAGTGTATTTCTTCATGGTTGAGAATACCCTGTTTCTTGTGTAGAGTGGTGACAGTGGCTTCCTTGATTATATCAGAAATTACACCTGCAGTTGACTGTGATGCCCTGAAACAGTTCACCCTTAGAATTCAGTTTTGATGTCAAACTCCATATGTAACTATGCATCAGGGATGCAGCTGGGACATGCTGATGAAAGAGAGAGGATTATGACATTATTTCCTTGATGAAGCTGTCATTTCATATTCAGCCTGGGACTTTATAAGGAATGCACATTTCAAATATATTTGCCCTAAGAAGATCCTGGTTAGAACTGATCTTCAGTAAAACATGCTTGTCGTAAGAGGCAACTAACAGTGGTCAGACTCACTGAGTTGGTTGACACATGTCATTGTATCACAATTGTGGAGATCGATGCTCATGCTGATCGGAGATTCTACCAGTAGAGATTGCGATCTGAGCCTCTAACAGTAGAGGACGTGAATATTAAAGAATGAAATGTATTTTACTCTACTTCTTGTTCATTCTTTCTTATATTTGAGTGAAATAGCAACCAAAAAACAGGAAGGTCGGGAAATGACCGGCCAGATGTATATTTGGGTGGGGTATTGTCCGGGTGGGGAAATGGTAGGTGACGAATTGACCAGGTGGGGAAATGACTGCATTCCTGGGAGGACACCGTGAACAACTACACCAGTCAGTTACTGAGCAGAGAGGTGAGATCTGAGACATGTTAAGAGGATCAGATTTTAGCTTCTACTGGTAGAGGCGATTATATAGGTTATTCTATATAATCAGAGTCTCTACTGGTAGAGACTCCGATCGCAATCTCTACTGGAAGAGACTCCAATCGCAATCTCTACTGGTAGAATTGGAGATCGCAATCTCTACCCTGACATATATATGCATATTATACTCAGTAGGGCTGTGTATTGTTAATAAATTGTATTGCAATATACAGCAATTCTGGTTCCTTCATTGCGATATGTATTGCGATATGTTGGGAGCTAAAGTGTTTGTCCCTAAAATAATATTCCTAGAAAGGATGTTCTGGTTCTCATCACAGCAATCTTAACACATCTGACCACATTCTAACAAATTCATTGTGTATTCCTCCTGCTTGTAGTCCTACATCGATTCTGATGCTCCAAAGCGTCACAAACTGAGTGTGCACATCATCTCCAGTAACCCTGGCGACCGGGTGAATGGTGATCAGGGGGACTGACCAGCAGGTCAATGACCAGATAGATAGACGAGAGGATGAGGTCATCATCACAGGACCAACAGTAAGTTCACAACTGGTACCGCAGCAGTAATTATTCTCTGGTGCTACAGGATTAACTATTCTCTGGTGCTACAGGATTAACTATTCTCTGGTACTACAGGATTAACTATTCTCTGGTACTACAGGATTAACTATTCTCTGGTACTACAGGATTAACTATTCTCTGTTACTACAGGATTAACTATTCTCTGGTACTACATGATTAACTATTCTCTGGTACTACAGGATTAACTATTCTCTGGTACTACAGGATTAACTATTCTCTGGTACTACAGGATTAACTATTCTCTGTTACTACAGGATTAACTATTGTCTGGTACTACAGGATTAACTATTGTCTGGTACTACAGGATTAACTATTGTCTGGTGCTACAGGATTAACTATTGTCTGGTACTACAGGATTAACTATTGTCTGGTACTACAGGATTAACTATTGTCTGGTACTACAGGATTAACTATTCTCTGGTACTACAGGATTAACTATTGTCTGGTACTACAGGATTAACTATTCTCTGGTACTACAGGATTAACTATTGTCTGGTACTACAGGATTAACTATTGTCTGGTACTACAGGATTAACTATTCTCTGTTACTACAGGATTAACTATTCTCTGTTACTACAGGGTTAACTATTGTCTGGTGCTACAGGATTAACTATTCTCTGGTACTACAGGATTAACTATTCTCTCTAACTGATTAACTATTGTCTACAGGGTACTACACAGGATTTATTGTCTGGTACTACAGGATTAACTATTGTCTGGTACTACAGGATTAACTATTGTCTGGTACTACAGGATTAACTATTGTCTGGTACTACAGGATTAACTATTGTCTGGTACTACAGGATTACTACAGGATTAACTATTGTCTGGTACTACAGGATTAACTATGCTCTGTTACTACAGGATTAACTATTCTCTGTTACTACAGGATTAACTATTGTCTGGTACTACAGGATTAACTATTGTCTGGTACTACAGGATTAACTATTGTCTGGTACTACAGGATTATCTATTGTCTGTTGTCTGGATTAACTATTGTCTACAGGATTAACTATTGTCTGGTGCTACAGGATTATCTATTGTCTGGTGCTACAGGATTAACTATTCTCTGGTACTACAGGATTAACTATTATCTGGTACTACAGGATTAACTTTTCTAAGGTGTCCTAACAGTCTTCCCAGATCCTGTGGTCTAGGCGCCACAAGGACCTTGCATGGATCTTCTATCTAAGCTGCTACTGGATCCTTGCATGGATTGACTAGTCTTAGTACTACAGGAGCATTGCAGGATCCATTGATCTGTCCTGACGTGGCACTGCAGCCTTCAAGGATCCTATGGTCTCGGGTGCCACAAGGACTTTCCATACTGGATCAGTCCATGGATCGACTAGTCTTAGCTAACACAGGAGCTTTGCAGGATCCCCTGATATATTATCGGCCTCCAACCCACAGTTAAGGTGTCTGATGTCAACACACTCACTAATGTTATGCTGTCATGTGATAATTGCATACCTGGTATTTTTTTCAGGAAGCGCATACTTCTTTCAATTCATAATGCTTGTCTTTCTGTTAAGGAAGCTTTTTAGTGAATCCTCAATATGGGGCCAAATGACTTTACCGTCTCTCTCTCTGTGTTTAAGGCAACAGTGGTGAGAAACGTGTGGGACTTCAAGAGGAACCTGGCCCTCTACCCCCTGGCAAAACCATACATGGACTGTTCCAAGGCCAGATCTAAACTCTGAAGTGTTTTCAACATGGACTGTTAAATGTTGAACTCACAACTGTGAACTTTCAATGAGAAACTGCTGCTCTTTTAATTACAAGTCATCTAATAGGTCAGAATAAACGTCAGAGGCTGAGATAAGTCAACTAGAATATTATTTGTCAGGTACAGGGGTGGAAATAACCCATTGCCCGACGCCCGAGCCCAGTGTTTTTTTCTGTCGGGCAAGCATATTTGTATATCACACTGTACCGGTGTTCAGTTGACTGTCAAATGTTAATTATGTTGTTTATTTAAAAAATCAACAAGAAAATCGGCCTGTATAGTGGAAAAATTATCAGGGCATGTGATTTTACTTGTGCCACTGTACCGGAGTACACTAGCAATTTTAAAGTTATTTCCAGCCCTGAGGTAGTGGAAGATGTTAGTTTGGGGATGGGTGTTTAAATAGGCTGGGAGAAAGTGGAAGGGATAAGGTATTAAGTGGCCTTGGGACTCTATACATCCCATCCCGTCATCTGTCCTGAGTGTGGGTGTGTGATGCTGGGGCTGGGATGAGGGTTTGGGTTAAGGCTTACACTTGGGACTCGGAGCATCTCTTGGAATGCCAAGAACCTGATGCTCACTCACGGGAATTAGGTGATAGCGTTTACCTATTTAGGAAAGTGTATCCTGTTGCCTTGCAGATTTCACAACTTGGTGTTTGGAACCAATTGTTGATCATTTATCAACTCCACAACATTTGTGATACCCTGTATAAAGATGTATTTAGTGAGCCACTGACATGGTGTATGACTTGTGTGCCATGTTTGAGATCCACTCATGGTGGCAGTGAGGCATCAATGCAGCTTGTTCAGGATCTTCAAGTGAAAGAAATGTGTTTTTGTAGTCACATGATTGATATCTTTGAATGTGTAAGACACATACCTGTGTTCGTAATTATATGTGAAAGTCAAGAGAAGCGATCCTTGTCCTAAACCGAATATTTAAAGTTAAAATATAGTGAGGTGCCAATCACCCCAGCTCCTAACTCTGGATATTGTATGGCTTAATCTCCAAGGATGGATCCAGCTTCATGGTAACTGGGGGCTGCACTTCAACTAAAAACTGAATGGAAATATTTCAGTGACAAACTGAATGTCACACTGTGTTCCCTTTCTTCTGCCCTTGAGTATAAGTGTCTTGGTGACCTGTAGTGTGTTGATATGGCTATGTAGGCTGTGGTGATGCCCAGGTTGTGACTTCTACACATGCTGCTAGTGTTAGTTGCTTGGAACAGATGCTCAAGCTAGCAGACTACCCTCAGGTACAGCACTGTCATAATGTCTTTACCAACTGATCCATCCTCATGAGGCAGGGGCATATTTCCCTGGTGATTACTACCTTGAATAATGACCCTATGTAAACTGTGACACCTGCAGACTCTAGGTTTCCATGCATTCTTTTTGAGTGAAAGGATTTGTTGTTGATTGCTTGACAAAGTTAATATGATAATAAATATGTCATCTTTGTTGACATATTCCAGTACAGATAGACTTTGATCATTATCAAATCATGACCTTTCCTGAAAATTGTCCTACCTGTTGGAAATGTTAGACTTCTGTATTCAGTATGAGAAGGATATCATATGATTGTTGAGGGATATCACTGTCTGATTGTATAGTATTGTCACTGTCTGATTGTATTGTGATGTCTTACTCTGATTGTTGAGGGATGTCACTGTCTGATTGTATAGTATTGTCACTGTCTGATTGTATTGTGATGTCTTACTCTGATTGTTGAGGGATGTCACTGTCTGATTGTATATTGATGTGACTGTCTGTACAGGGATGTCACTATATGATGTGATGTCTATGGTGATGTCATTGTTTATTGTTATGTGATTTCACTGACTGATTGTTTAGGGATGTTATTATTTGACTGCATAGTGATGTCACCTTCTAATGGTATGGTGATGTTAACATCTGAATCTATTGTGACATCAGCATCTGTTTTAGTGATTGGAAGATGGTGACATCATTATGTGGTTGTTTAATGACATCATTGTGTCATTTTATGATGATCATTTTCAACTGAATGTGTAGCCATTAATAGTGATATTTCCATTAATCTCTTATGCAATAATGATGTATTGAAACAATTAATATATATATTATATCATTTTAAGAATTAACTCAGGTTCAAGTCTTTGGAAAAGAATACGGAAAAACTACAAAATACTGCCATTCCTGTGATTAATCAGATATCTGTGGGTCAAAACAGTGTCATATCATATCTTTGTAACCTTGGTGCAACACAAGTCTGTGCTGATAATAAGGAATAGAACTGTATGCCATTTTTTAAAAATATATCCTGCTCCAATCGGGAACAGGAGGTGAATGCCTGTGAATCTGTTTCCACTGCATCTGTTGCCTGATTATTCCTGTAACAGAAAAGGCACCCAGTACTCAAGAACTGTAAACATTCATGAATTTGATGATTTGTTTGTTGTAGTGCGTGAGTGACATCAGATCCTGATGGAGTTATGGTTGCTGGTTGCTGTTAACCAGCTTTCCTGGCCCTGACTGAGTTATGTACCACAATGATTTGTCTAGAAAATTGCAAAAGCAGCATTAAACCCCATTCACTCCCTCCCTTAATTATATTTTTTGATGGCATCAACAATAGTGAATGGCATTTAGTTTTGGTTCTGTTCACATGTTTTAAGAGAGATTGTTCCAAGAATGTTGAGGGGCGGTGGGGTAACCTAGTGCTAAAAGCGTTCACTTGTCACACCAGACACGGGTTCGATTCCCCACATGGGTACAATGTGTGAAGCCGATTTCTGGTGTCCCCTGTCGTGATATTGCTGGAATATTGCTACAAGCGGCGTAATACCAAACTCACTCTCCCAAAGAATGATGACTGTGTGATGTGAGCATGTTCATATATACTGGGAGGCTTAATCATCAGAAGGGCATGATTGGGTCGTTGTCAAGGTTGCAATTCACAGTGCAGAGTTGCATCCCTTAGGTCCACCAGAAATGGATCTTCGTAGTTTGGAACTGTTCTCTTGTTGTGTAGCTGTTTGGCAGGCTTCACCTGGTAAATGTCAAAGACCTGCATCACTTCAGGTTTACCTTCGAGATCAAGTCGACATACGCTGATACAGCTGAAACACTGCCCAAATGTGGGTGAACCAAACAAACACACTCACTAAATCATCAGTAATTGTATTGGTCGGCTGCCACTGCCTTTGAATATTGTGTTGGACATTGGCTACTTTGTGAGAATAATGCATAAATATGTTCAAGAATACTACTGCATCCTGATCATGGTGAATATGAAGGAGTATTCTAGCTAGACAATCTGGGAGATGTATATTTATTAAAACATTAGTTTCCTGGAACTTGTCACTGTGACTTGTTTATGTTGTTCTGGTAAAGGGAGGCCACTCTCCTTGTGGCTTCAGACTTACATAATAGTGTACCACTAACAAGTTGCCTGTGACTTTTAATTATCACTAATCCAGGACTCCATTTTAAATTATATAACTGTGACAACCTTTTCATCATGATTACTTCACACTTTTGTATACATGCTGTTTCTCCATAAGTAAGGCCAATGTGTCGTGTTGTCTTTCACAGCCAAGTACTTTGGCTGTGTGTGGCATGGAGTCAAATGAGCCCTACTCCACACATGATGTTTATGTAAACCTTTCTGTTGTCTGCAGCAATGTGGACAGTAGCTGGATGCAAGGCTGGGAATCCTGTGAGATTCATGTGCCATTTTCTGGATACGATAGAAGCTCTCATTAATCCAAGCACTCATTAGCCTGAACTCTCATTGGTAAAACCTGTCATTAGGCTGAGCTCTCATTTGCCTGAGCTCTCATTTGTCCGAGCTGTCATTGGTACAAGCTGTCATTGGTAAAGGCTGTCATTGGTCGGACCTCTCATTTGTACAAGCTGTTATTGGTCCGAGCTCTCACTGGTGAAAATGAGAATGACCAATAGGGTTAGAGAAGACAGTGACCAGGAACTGAGAAAACAGTCTCAGTAAAATAAAAAAGGTAACACAATGCTCTGAAATAGGTTTTAATGACATTCAACATTTATTTTGTGTAATTCAATGGTGGCTGTTTTCTCTAGTTTCCCCATAGAATACTGATGAATGTTGTGAGATTTCAAGAGGAGTTAATCCCGTGAGCGGAGTCAGTTCAAATGGTTGCTTTTAAGCAAGACCTAGAAGGATATGGGTTATTTTACTTTCATAATTTACATTTCAAAAGGAAACACTGACCAGTGGTATCAGTAATATGGTCCCCTTGGCCAGACATATTGTTATTTGCCCCAGTCTGTTTGGGTTTTAGTGGTATCCCTTTATTAACCCTGGCTTCCATAGCCTCAGCAGAAACAAGCTCAGCGCTTGGATGTGACGATTTTTAATCAAATACATTTAGTAATTTTCTGTGATACTTGTATGAGACTAAGATGCCTGTTAGTCCTGCAGTACAATCGGCTGCAGTGTTAGCGTAGCCAAGCCAACTTAAGATGTCATGGTAGATGTAGATGATATCTGTTAATAATTTAAACCATTCACATTTGTCTATTGGTCATGTAGTCTTGACATGAGTGTTATGACTGTGTATGAATTTCTACATGCATTTCATTATGATTTCCACACATGATTTTAAACATGGTATGTGTTAATAAAGTGTATATAAGACACAGGTTGTATTTGTACTGATTGTTCTGATGTATGTACAACCAACTTCAGGTGTATACAACCAGTATAATTATCCTCTGCCGCGCGTATAGTATATAGCTCCGTCTGTACGTCCCGTGCGTACGAATTGGAATATCTTAAGATCCGATGACTACAACCTTTCATATTTTTAACCCCGCAACGCGTTTTGCGGGGGGTATTAAAATGGACTCCGTGCGTGCGTGCGTCCGTCCGTGCACATTTGTCTTTTCCGGAGCAGAACTCTAAAACCGTTCAATATTTCTTCACCAAACTTGGCACATACATGGATCTGGTGGTGTACTGGTGCCTTTTGGTAGTTTTGGAATTCTGAATAAAATATTTTTGGCGTTTCCATGGCAACAAGTTCGACTTAGACTGAAATTAGTGGTAGTGCTCTTTTCCGGAGCAGAACTCTAAACCTGTTCAATATTTCTTCACCAAACTTGGCACATAGATAGATCTGGTGGTGTACTGGTGCCTTTTGGTAGTTTTAGAATTCTGAATAAAATATTTTTGGCGTTTCCATGGCAACAAGTTTGACTTAGACTGAAATTGGTGATAGTGCTCCTTTCTGGAGCAGAACTTTAAAAACCGTTCAATACTCTCCTTCCACTTTTCTATATACACACCTAAATATTTGACATAATCATAACTCGTAGACATAATCATGAAGAGTATCTTGCCATTGCGGGGGATATTGATGACTTTGTCTTCTTGTTTTTCCGAGAAGAGGTCTTTTATTCATTTAACATAGAATAAGTTTTTCTAATTACATAAAACGACCCTAGCGTCTGTCTCTTCTTAGGGCTTTTAGAAGGCATCAAAACACGACAACAGCGTTATGCCATACTCTGACACGGGACACCGTGAAATCTGTTTTTGGTTTTATAGTAACGAATAATGTAAGTAAATGTTAACTATAATTACAGAGTTATACACTAGCCACATAAAGAAACTGTGCATTGTCAAAATATTATCCCAGTTGATAAGTACGATAACAATGTCAAAGGTACATATAAACTTGAATGGAGGGATCATGAGACCATAACAAGTAGGGAGAATTTCAATTGAAAAGTCAATCACAATGACGTCACGAGTCCACAAGCGGGACAGGGGTCAAACGACCATGTCACAAGCTTAATAACGGGTATGTCCACCATCGGCATTGAGAACAGCAGTGCATCGACAACGCATAGAGCCTATCAAACGTGCAAGGAAGGCTTGTGGCTTGTGGGATGTCATGCCAGATTCTCTCAAGTTCTGTTGCAAGGTCAAGGACGTTATCTGGCGGATGAGGAAGACGGCGTAGACGTCGATCCATCTCGTCCCAAACATGCTCCATCGGGGAGAGATCCGGTGAATTTGCAGGCCAATGCAGTAAGTCAACGTTGTGGTGTTGCAAGAAATCCATAGCAACCCTTGCCGTATGAGGGCGGGCATTGTCCTGTTGGAATGTTAACCCAGGGCCATGACGTTGCAGAAAAGGAATTGCCACAGGTCGAAGAATCTGATCCCTGTAGCCCACACCAGTTAAGTTGCCCTGAACAATCCCCAAAGGAGTTCTTTGGCGTGCTGTTATTCCACCCCAAATCATCACGGAACCACCACCAAAGCGATTCCTCTCCAAGACACAGGCCTGTGCATAACGTTCTCCCACGCGTCTATAGGCACGTTGACGTCCATCACTATGGGAAATGTTAAACCTGGACTCATCTGTAAAAACAACATTTCTCCACCAAAACAAGGGTCTGCGGACATGATTTTGGCACCACATTCGGCGAGCTTGTCGATGACGTTGTGTCAGGATAGGCCGTATGGCGGGACGTCGTGGACTGATCCCGTGATGACGTAAACGTTGTCGAACTGTGTTGGGGTGGATACGGCGAAGTCCTGGGATGGTTCGGGCAGTCATCACTGCAGTCTGAAACCTGTGGCGAAGATGGGTCACCCTTATCCATATGTCCTGTCTTGGCGTTGTTACACGTGGACGTCCAGAACGTGGCCGATCGATGACGTCATTTGTGTTCTGGTAGCGTTTCACCAGTGCAGAAATAGTGTTCCGGTGGCAGTGGAAATGTGCAGCCACTTGTCGTTGAGACATTCCCCCACGGACCATCCCAATGGCCTCATGACGTTGTGCAGTCGTGAGCCTTGGCATGCTATGCGTTTCAATAACCGTTTAATTTTTTGAACGATCGCAAGGGCAGGGGTTGAGCTTTCCAAAGTGACAGTATTGTGTGGCATTCATTTGCTCTGTTTCTCTTTCCCGGAATGCACGCGCAACAACGTATTGCACGTCTCAAGGACGAACCCACTGACGTCACGGAACGTGGCACGTGCATGCATGTTGGATACATGTCACTAATCTCTGAGTTTCAATCCTTATGTGTCTACACAGGTTTGATTAATTTAGATTTTAAATTTTTGTATGCACAGCCTAGTATATATACCGCTAGGAGCGGTGGGGTCACCTAGTGGTTAAAGCGTTCGCTCATCACGATGAAGACATGGGTTGGATTCCCCACATGGGTAGAATGTGTAAAGCCCATTACGGGCGTTCCCTGCCGTGATATTGCTGGAATACTGCTAAACGCGACGTAAAAACTAGAATCACTCAAATTACGAAATCAATAATATACTCACTGGGGAAAACTAGGTAGCATAGCAACCAAGCATTATGTATTACTCATACCATACATATATATGAGGATATAACTGTTTGCAAATGAAGTTATGTCAGCTGACAAATTTATGGTCTGTCACTAATTGAACCTAGTGTATTCTGACACCAAAAGTATGTTAAATGCGCTGTATTCATAACACAATATGACTTATGTTGATGAAGTTCATGCTAATCTACCCTATTGTATGTGATGCTATACTGCGGTTTATCTGAATGAGACTAGAAACATAAATACTCCAACGTCAATAAAGGATTACGACATCGACAGCTGTTCCCGAGTATAACAGCACATGACCTACTTGACACATCGGGAGAACACGAATTTTTATGCAATTCAAATTATATATTTCATTTCTTTTGTTTGTTTGTTTATGCTCAGGAACAGCCAAGCAATGAAATGGCGTCTTGCAAATTAGGCTGGACCATACAATCATGAACATCTCTCCGTGCAGGTTAGATATGATGACAATTGTCTTGAACCTCTGAAGATTGATATGTAACAATATCCACTTATACCAGAGACCATATAATAGATTATTATATGGTCTCTGCTTATACTGACAACATTTCCCAACTATGAAGGACTTTTTCCGTTTCACTAACTTTGACATGCTGTTGTGGTTCACAAAGTTGAAGAATTAAATATTTTGACTGAATTGAAATTGGGTCTTTCCTGAGCTTCCAAACGTCCACGCAAATCCTGTGAGTTTTGGAGAAGCCACACGGTATTATTTCCATAATCTCCTTGTCTAGGATACCTTGTGTATTGTGGAAATCCGTCCGTGATTAATCTGGGGGTAATAGCTGACCTCCCAGACATGGGTTGGGTGGTATATCTACCTTCAATATAAGGAAATCCATCACATAAGAAGAAAGGACATGTCATCAAGTCTTAAAGTTAAGTCTACGCACTTTCTAAGGTCACACTAAAGGCCTAAATAGCCAAGTGGTTAAAGCGTTCGTATGTTGTAACGAAGTCCCAGGTTTGATTCCACACACGGTTACACTGTGATGCCGATTTCTGGTGTCCCTCCGATGCAATACTACTGGCATATTGCCGGACCCACTCCCATAACACAAGGCATATCACAGACACATCACACATTACCTGCAGACACATAATTCCCTCATGTTATCAGTTTGGCGAAAACGGAAATCAGTCTTCTCCAATACGTATTCTTCAGTGCCTCAATATTTTACTGTTGTGTATTACTGAAGGTGGTCATGGTTGAAGTCGTATGCCAAAATGTTGGTACACTTCAGTATTGCTGTCCCTTTGTTGTCCCCTTCGTGATGTTTCTGCAATACTGATAAAAAGGCTAAATCCTCACTCAACAAGATTCATATTCAGTCTACGTCGGTCACACCGCCAACATGTGGGCTCCTTGTCAAATGTTGGCGACAGAGGAAAGAAAGAACAGCAATGGAGCCTTTCTATGAATCTGGTGACGTACGGCAGCCTGTACGGATCATGTTTTGTTACGTGATTATCATACGGTCCAGCGTCATCCTGTTTTGTCATGCCACGTTCCTCCAGTGTCCCTGTAAATATAATATTGATGCAGATATACACTCCTTTTCTTGTTTAATCAGTGCTGTGTTAGTAATGCAGGATTCCTGAGATTTAAAATTCTTTAGAGTGTATTTCAAATTTTATGGGAGAATAATTATCAAGGATGGACTTTTGGTGAACCGTCGAACACAGTAATAATGTATGTCATTTGTGTCTTCACTGGACTGGGTTTTTTTTTTTGTTGTTTTTTTGTCACTGGACTGTTTGGTGCGTGTCAGGCTCGATTCTTTAAACCGCGTTATGTAGCTAAAATATTGAGTGCACCCTAAAACAACAATCACCAACGACCATATCCTTTCAGTAGCCTAGGTTCCCATGAGGCCAAAAGAATATCATATAAACAAAAGAAATAGATACAACGTGTAAAAACACTTGCCATATTAAAGGTTGTGTAAGCATGTCTGAGTACACACTTACGTGATCAACAAAGAACATACCCGCAGCAAGGTTGTCTAGGACACAGCCAAACAGACTGGACACAAACATAGGATTAGACAATAGGACGGTCAGGACTTGATCAAACCCTTTGCTTCCTAAAAAGCAGAACAGCACAATTAAGCAGAATATAGTTTGTATCAATTAATTGCTTAAAAACAAACAGTAAATAAAAAACTTAACCAAAAAACCCAAACATACAGCGTAACGCTAACATCCAATGTTACGTTAGATAACAAGGTAACACCCATTCTAACGCTGGCACCTTCTGTAGCGGTAACACCCAGTCCAACGTTATATTTAGCACCTTTGTAACGTTAACACGCATCCAGATGTTAGCACCTGTAACGTTAACACCTATGCTACCGTTAGCACGTTCTGTAATGGTAACACCCAACCTAACGTTAGCGCCTTCTGTAACGGCAGGGGCGATGGGGTAGCCATGTGGTTAAAGCGTTCGCTCGTCACGACGAGGACCCGAGTTCGAATCCCACATGGGTACAATGTGTGAAGCCCGTTTCTGGTGTCCCCCGCCGTGATATTGCTGGAATATTGCTAAACGCGGCGTAAAACTAAACTCACTTAATCTGTAACGGTAACACCCAACCTAACGTTAGCACCTTCTGTAACGGTATCACACACTCTAAATAGCCCTGACAGTATCACCTGCTTTGACTCAGTAATGTAGTCTTTGTTGATAGGAATATATCCTGAAGATATATACTTTAGATACGTTTAATAACATTTTCTCTACCTCTGCTTCATCGCTGATTTCAGTGATTCATTAAAATACCTGTCATCAACAGCTGCCTTAACGCCGTGGACTCGGCAGATAGTCCAGAACGTAACCAGAGTTCCCCACCTGTTTTGATAAGGTCTTTGTTGGCGGCCATCCAATCTGGCAGGAGGAGACCCAGAGAGACAGCTATACCCAGGATTAGGAGGTTCCTGGGGGAAGACAGGTCGACTGACTTTAACATAGACACGCCCACAGCCGTCACTGTGCTCATTGCCACCAAGTTGACCCCGCCAACTACAGGGTCTGGGATGATTGTGAACACCGCCCCTACCTTGCCTACGACGCCCCCTACCATCAGAATCAAGGCCGCAGTCACAAACACTCTCCGACTTGCGACCTGTTGATAAGAAAAGTCAGTTCATAAAAAGTAAACAGTTGAAGTTGTAACTTCCCTGATGTGGTATCGAACCCCACACAAGTGACTGACACAAACACCCTCCGACTCACAACCTGTTGATAGGCTGTGGATATAATCTGTTTTAAGAACAACATGTTAATGTTCTATATGCTACCCGTCACGTGGGAACAACGTGTGAAACCTTTTCCTAGGTTCCATGTCGTGATAATATTGCTAACAGCAGAATACAAACTCACTCTTTCTTTAAGTTCACATTCAAACCATGTTAAGGCCTCTAGTACACAAACTCACTCTTTAAGTTCACATTCAAACCATGTTTAGGCCTCTAGTACACAAACTCACTCTTTAAGTTCACATTCAAACCATGTTTAGGCCTCTAGTACACAAACTCACTCTTTAAGTTCACATTCAAACCATGTTTAGGCCTCTAGTACACAAACTCACTCTTTAAGTTCACATTCAAACCATGTTTAGGCCTCTAGTACACAAACTCACTCTTTAAGTTCACATTCAAACCATGTTCAGGCCTCTAGTACACAAACTCACTCTTTAAGTTCACATTCAAACCATGTTTAGGCCTCTAGTACACAAATCATGCAACCTATTACGTAAATTTATAAACAAGTGAATTTATAATACGCCTTTTCCATGTACAAAATACATGCGCAAATCGCGAACACATTATTATCCGGGGCGGTGGTGTAGCCTAGTGGTTAAAGCGTTGGCTTGTCACGCCGAAGACCCGGGTTCGAATCCCCACATGGGCACAATGTGTGAAGCCAATTTCTGGTGTCCCCCGCCGTGACATTGCTGGAATATTGCTAAAAGCGGCGTAAAACTAAACTCAGTCAGTCAGTCAGTATTATTATCCCGAATAATTGTGATTGCCTGTGATTCCCTAGAAGGTAAATAGTCACATGACTTATCTCACCGGGTATCCATTTTCTGCTGGGTGAACAGAGGCAATTTTGAACAAACTCACTTCCCTATGGTGAGACCACACGTGTCACGATCTTCGTTGTGGGGGAAAGGCTGAAGTCCTAGAAACTCTCAGGAGTCAAGCTGCCAAACACCCATCCACGGACTCTCCGCGCTCAACGTTGCTTAACTTCAACTGAATTGTGACCTGAACTCTATGCACAGGACCACACACCACCACGTGTCCACTGCATCGCTAACCTAGTGGTTAAAGTGTTCGCGTGATACGCCGAAGACATGGGTAAGATTCCCCACATGGGTACAATGTCTGAAGCCCTAACTGGTGACCCCGTCATGATATTGCTGGAACAGTGCTAAAAGCGGCGTAAACCTAAACTCACTCAAGGTGACTATACTTCCCATCAAAAGTTTAGACTCACTTTAAACACTCACTATATGTTATGTATATGTATGGTTACATCAAATATTGATTTCTCCACTAACTTGGGGGAACCAACTGCACACCTTATGCAGATGAATTGCACGAGGATCATGCATCAAACTTCTGAAAAGCATGTGCAAATATCGTGGTTGACTCATGTCGTCATAGAGCAATGATCACGCAGTTGATCACAGGATTATATGGTCCAGACTCGACTCATCGGGTGAAGAGTAAGAGAAGAAGCGTGCGTAAAAAGAAATGGAGGCAACTGAGAGAGCTCGTGGATTCGTGGATAATATACTACCCATCAAAAGTTTCGACTCACTGAAAGCGCTCACTACAGTACAACCAGAAATTATTGAGAATTTAAGATTGTAAGTTTTTATATTTTTTTCACTCATTACTCACGTATTAAATGTGACTATTAGCAGAACATAACTCCAGATTCAAAGACAGGTGAACAGTTAGTATTTTGTCAAGTCACCATGGGCAGCAATGCAGGCTTCAATGCGGCAGGGCATACTACTGATAAAAGAAGTTAGAAAGTTGTGGTCCATACTGTCCAATATCGGACCACCTCTTCTTTCATTTCAGCAATATTTGTCAGATTTTTCTTATTGACACTTTCCTTCATAAGTTCCCAAACATTTCCTATTGGATTTAGGTCAGGGCTATAGCTTGGCCAATCTAATAATGTCATATTTTGGGTCCGAAACCAGGCCTGTGAATGCTTTGAACGATGTTTTGGGTCGTTGTCCTGCTGGAAAATCCAAAAATTTCCATAGAACACATGAGCAGATGGAAGTAAATGTCCCTCGAGAATATACATGTACCGCTCACTGTTCATATTCCCTTCAAATACACAGAGGGGCGTTGTCCCTAACACAGGTATTCCATCCCACACGTTAAATTTGGGACTGTACTTTGGGCGCTGATACAAAGGTTTTTCAGTTTGTTTGGTCCAGAATTTCAGTGTATTAGGAAACAGCCACACAGAACTTTCATCTGAGAAAATCACATTGTCCCAGTTAAAATTTCTATGCTGTAAGCACCAGTTCAACCATCGGTCCTTTTGTTCAGGTTTCATGATCGGTGATGGAATTCCTCGACTTTTCTGCCAACCCATTGCATGCAGCTCAGTTCTAATTGTCTCCTTACAGACAGCCACAGGTCCTCTATCAATCATATCCAGCCTTAAGTTTTCTAAACTCCTTCGTTTGTTTTTAGAAACAAGAATACCAAGCCGCCTCCTGTCACCGACAGTCAATTTTCTGGGCCTACCTGCGCATCCCTTGTGCTCAATGCCATATCCATTTTCAATATTTTTCAAAACGGGATAAACAGTGGACAAAGGGATGCCTGTTCTACTTGAAATCACTTTAGCTGATCTGATGTCCTTGTTGTAATACTTTAAAATCAACTTCCTCTTCTCTAAATCATTCATACTGAGGATCACTGAAAATGTCGTCTGCTAGCAAGTAAACAAAGGGGATAGCTCTTCACAAACTAATGAAAAAGTATTAACGGAGTTGTCTCTCTTGAATGAAACGAAGCACTTGATAGCTGGTCAAGGTTGTTTATACTAGAAATCCAATTAAACATATTCCTAAAATTCTCAATAATTTCATACTATATATGTTATGTATATATCGAACATCCCGGGTTACATCGAAGATGAAATTCTCCACTAACTTAGGGAAAACCAACTGCAAAGCTTATAGAGATGAATTACACGAGGATGATGCATCAAATTGCTGAGAAGCATGTGCAAATATCGTGCATGTGAACAGCTTCGTTTTGGTGTAAAGTTTTGTTAAGAATTTGCCAATTTTCACTGAGTTTCATCATTTATTGAACTCATGACAATATTCTTTTCAACGTTACAAATTTGTTTTACAATGCATCAGTTCATGTGTAAAAAGTACCTTTAAACAGTATGGGATATTTTGCAAAATTTAGTTTAGAACAGTTGCCTGAAGTAAGTGGCTACATTTACACTAGTGAGTCTAAACTTTTGATGGGAAGTATATATAGTCTGTAGGCACTGATCATGCTCAATTGTAGTAGTGAGATTGTCTGTTGATTGAGCTCACCTTGGTGACCGCGACCACACCCAGACTCTGTACATACGTCATGCTGGACATGACCCCTCCCAGCATGCCGCTGATGACGCCGGTGACCCCATTCACCGCTACCCCCCTGTTGATGGCGTGGGCCGGGAGGTGAGGCAGCTGCACTACACGTGATATTGCAGAGTAGTTGCCGGGCATCTCGATTATCGCCACCAGGATCACGGTTATCATGGCTGTCGACCCTGTAGAACTGATGGTCGGTAGTCCATACGGAACTGCAAGACACGAGAGGAATAATTACTACAAGCTTCATTCTGTATCATAAATATATTTATAAAAAGAAGGGGATATTCAGTGAGTGAGTGAGTTTAGTTTCACGCCGCTTTTAGCAATATTCTAGCAATATCACGGCGGGGCTCACCAGAAATAGGCTTCACATATTGTACCCATGTGGGGAATCGAACCCGGGTCTTCGGCGTGACGAACGAACGCTTTAACCACTACGCTACCCCACCGCCCCGGAATATTCACTAAAAGCGTATCACAACTGTTGATATTATATATCTTTAATGAGATAAATAGTGCAACAGGGACATCTGACTGAGATTTGTATTTGTTGTTAAACTTCAGGTGACCAAAGATGCTGTCAGCTGATTAACCAAAGCGCCCTGTTGTCCATCACGTCATTTACCATGAAAAGCCAAACTCATTAATATCGCGTGAATCCGCTTCTATTCTCAAAACAATCCCGGACTCGACGAGACAGTCCAGTGTTAAGTTGGTTTATTCCATCCAATTCTTCCGGCATAGCATCGTTAAGTTCGTTGGAAGTGGTCGGTGGTTGTTGACGGTGACGTTCACGCCGTTATCCCAGCCCTATTCGATGTACATACATCGTTTGCCCAACGACGACTGGACCAACACTGCCGCTCTTGACATCCATTGTTATACCAGACATGTTCGATGGACTTACTCAGGATAACTCGTGGAAGTCGGGCATTCAGGTTGCATCTTCATAACCGATTACTAATTTCCTGTCCACGCACTCTAACACATGTGGCACTGTGAAGCTCATCTCCAATTTGAGATACTCTTGTGTACCAGTTGTCACCCTTGGTTGACTAGATCGACGTCTGTCATTTTGTTTGTTGATAACGTGATTGCAATGCGCTAATGGCTGACTGTGAAACATTAAGAGCTCGTGCCACAATACCTTGTCTTGTTCTAACTTTAGTTATGCCGATTTCCACGTGGCCGCTAACGACGCAAGCGGCGCATGTCAAAAACGTCCGACTGGGCTTAAAACAATATCGGAGCAAGTTTCAGTCTGTTTTCTATCACTGAAATGAACAGCAAAACAGTCACGTTTCACTGTAAATTTCGAATTGTACCCCAACTATGTACGTAATGAAAAATAACGCTTGCACGAAATTGGCTTGTTTGCACGAAATTAATGACAGGTTGTGAATGGAAAAATAAGTTTCCTAACCCATATACGATCAAACAACTTGGTTCCCAATAATATCACCCCAAAATGGAACTTCCCCAACGTATTAATGGTATATGTTAATGGAATATTGATCTTTAAATAGTTGATCATATAGGTAACATTTGTAACGATACCACACCAATGACAATCTTCCAAGAAAACCTCCCCCACACTTACACGGTGAAGGTAAGAAGATCCATGGTGCATCATACAGGACCCTCATCCTGACGTCAGTCCTGGCCATGTGACCATAAATGGTAGAGTTACTAGGCAACGTGTTTGTCATGGTCAGCACGTGACACGTCAACCACGACACAGCAACCGCCAGGATTATCTAAAAGTACACGTGAATATAACTGTTATTTGACACACAGCACCGCGTGTAGTTCAGATAGCCTCCTTGAACTAAATGTTAATTGTATGCAAAACCCGAGCGAGGTGGGTTTGACGCTTCTCTACACAGTATTTCAGTTACATCATGGCTGACACTGAGAGGGGTCCCTGAGCACTTTTGCAAACAAAAGCCACTAAACTATTTCCATAAGTCCACATCTCGTCCAAAAGGAGACTGCGTGTGCGATGGTGTGTGTGGTGTGTGGAGTGTGGAGTGTGGAGTGTGTGGTGGTGGTGGTGTGTGTGTTTTGAAAATGACTAAAGACCGCATTGAAGTTAATGTTGAGCATTGGCGGAGCCAAGGGTGTGTGTGTGCGTGTGTGTGTGTGTGTGTGTGTGCGCGCGCGTGTGCGTGCGTGCGTGCGTGTGTGTGTGTGTTGAATGGTGTGTATCATGGTATGTATAATGGAATGTATCATAGCATGTATCATATAATGTATCATAGAATGTATCATATAATATATCATAGAATGTATCATGGTATATATCATGGTATGTATCATGTAATGTATCATGTAATGTATGTATCATCATGGTATGTATCATAGAATGTATCATGTTATGTATCATGGTATGTATCATGTAATGTATCATAGCATGTATCATGGTATGTATCATGGAATGTATCATAGCATGTATCATGGTATGTATCATGCAATGTATGATAGCTTGTATCATGGTATGTATCATGGTATGAATCATGTAATGTATCATGGTATGTATCATATAATGTATCATATAATGTATCATGGAATGTATCATGGAATGTATCATGTAATGTATGATAACATGTATCATGGTATGTATCATGGTCTGTATCATAGCAAGTATCATGGTATGTATCATGTAATGTATCATAGCATGCATCATGATATGTATCATGTAATGTATCATAGCAAGTATCATGGTATGTATCATGTAATGTATCATAGCATGCATCATGGTATGTATCATGTAATGTATCATAGCATGTATCATGGTATGTATCAATTCATGTATCATAGCCTGTATCATGGTATGTATCATGTAATGTATGATAACATGTATCATAGAATGCATCATGGTATGTATCATGTAATGTATCATATCATGTATCATGGAATGTATCATGTAATGTATGATAACATGTATTATATGTATCATGGTATGTATCATGTATTATATGTATCATGGTATGTATCATGGTATTTATCATGGTATGTATCATGGTATGTATCAATTCATGTATCATAGCCTGTATCATGGTATGAATCATGTTATGTATGATAGCTTGTATCATGTAATGTTTCATAGCATGTATCATGGTCTGTATCATGTAATGTATCATAGTATGTATCATGGTTTGTATCATAACATGTATCATAGCATGTATCATGAAATGTATCATGTAATGTATCATAGTATGTATCATAGCATGTATCATAGTATGTATCATGGTATGTACCAACAAAAACGTGACGGACCAATGGGGACGCCCTTTAACAATCATACACATATCTAGTAATGGACATTTAGAAAGTAACATTGTTATTAAACATTTAGGTTCTTTTGTATTTTGTCCTTTCAGAGATGGTCGGGTGAAAGTATGCAAGGATATGAGTAGCGTCATCCCGAAATATGATAAGCCTTTGACATGGTCATTATCTTCAGTACATTGGTACATAAAATAATCTCTGGCATCCACGTCAATCCTTGCCGTAATAAATGGCCGGTCCCTAGTGAAACAATGGAGCCTATACTCACCGCATTCAACTGAAATAGAGGGTATCGTGTCACAGAACACTTCCGATGGTTGAGTGTCAGGAACGGAATTTTCACATTCACGAGGAACACCGCGAACAGGATGGATAGGAATGTTGTCCTACAAGAAATATCACAACATAAAGTTACCGGACTACATGCTTTTCTTTCACATTGTTACAACCGATGTTTTTACAGAACTTTAACTTATGTACTGACAGTGTGTCAATTACTGACTTTTCACAAGCTTTATGTAACACCACTTACAAGCTGGCTATTCCCCAGTGTTGTTCACACAGTGGTATCATGTACCGACAGAGAGTCACGCCCAGAACAGTCACGCAGGGGGCCAGAGTCAGAGGACCGATGAACCGGATGAGGAACCCCAGTGTTCCCGAGACTCCCAGAAGAAACTGAACTCCTGACGCCAGCATCAGGTTGCCCTGGATCTGGATACAGCAGCATGTAACATATGAGCATCATCAAACAATCAAACATGTATCAAACATTATCATGTCTTGTGACAATACCTTGACAATGTCATGTTTAGTATCGTAACCAAATATTTTCCAACTAAATCCACTAGCGCAGGTGATGAAAGGCTGATCATGTCATGACTTCAATTGTCCACATGCCCACGGTCATCGAATTAGTATTTTACCTCGACTATAGTTTTATTTCACCAACGGTCTATCCGATGTATGCATACATTTCCAACACATAATCGGACCCATGTTATTTTACATACATCTTTTCTCAACAACGGTTTTAGGCTTGGCGAGGTCAAGAGTATTTATTGGTTTTGAAAGGAAACAAGCCATCTGGTTTGGCCCATGGCAAGAAACAACGATCTCACCTCCGTCATCCTCATCTTCCAGGGAACGATTGTCGTGTCATTGCCTGGTCTACTTTCTCTCAAGGAGGCTGAGTATAACAAAACACATGTTGTGAAATCTATACCTCACCCGTCGCGTTAACAATCATGTTTTATGCAAAACAAATCAGAAAAAAATAGTTCATCATCATCATCATCATCATCATTGGATATTTATATAGCGCACATATCCACGCACTAATGCATGCTCAAGGTGCTGGTATCTTTTTCCCTCGATCACTGGATGTCAATCTCAACGGCACATCTTATGATGAATCTCAACTGCCTGGGGATAATACAACTCTTGCTGCCACAAGGCGCACCGAGTTATTGCGGCTTTCCCATCCTTACGAGTTTGCCAATTAGCAATTTTAATAACACTTCTGATATCATTTTAGATGCAACATAATAAATATTGTAAAATATACTTTCCAAATAAATAGCGGATATTCGAAAGCAGCAGATGATGACAGAAATACCAAGAAGGATCGTGCGATGGTAAAGGGTGGTAAGGAAAAAAGGACAGGTGTAGTGTGAGGGTGCAAACATCCATGAAAGTGACCAGGGATGTGTTGTCACAGAAATGAACGTTTGGGATGACTTGATCAGTAACTGGTCACAAAACGTTAACAGTTGGTCAAATATTGACACGACAATGGGAATGAAAATATGGGTCTTGCCAACTTTTTTGCAGCGCTTTTCCCATTTGGGCTAACGTAGAGGGTACAGTACACGTCTCCCGATCACGTCACGGCCGTGCTCCATCGGGACACGGGCGTAAACGCCACAACTATCTACGCATGTGTGTTAGTCTCGGACGTTCGGTCCTATATGCAGTGATCCTCTCATTTCAGAACCACCCCTTAACAGCTTTAGGTTGACGTTCCCATGATATTTATTAGGACACCCCCAGAAACGCCCTGGACAATCAGAGAGTCCACTTAACACTTTACGTGTCGACGTTCTGTACATCATAGAAGATTTCTCCAACCTTCTCCGATGGCCTCCGGTGACACGCTCTTGTCGCACTAGTAACGGACAACGGTAGAACACAGTGCGGTAACCCACGGTGGTGGTGGTGTGTGTGTGCGCGCGCGCGTGTGTGTTTGTGCGTGTGTGTGTGTGTGTGTGTGTGGGGGGGGGGGTTTGTAGCAACACAAGGGTAATGTAACACACTGGTCAGGCACAAGGGCAACGGACAAAGGGGACACAACACACAGTGCGGACACAGACAGGTGGGAAACACTTGCAGTACGTACCATCAGTGAGTTTCGGGTCACTTACAATGACAACAATGCCCACCAAGATGGTCCCTGCAGGCCCTTCTATTACCGGTAATCTACAACGAAGGGTAGAGTAAACAAAGTGCACTTCAATAGTGTTGATTGAGACATAAATAAAATATGATTTGAAAATACATACCTGCAGTCAAACGTTTTCCAGTTGGCTCCACTGCAATAATGACAGTGACTTTAACTATACTCAGAGGCAAAAGTTATTGTATCATGGAACTATTTCAGTGGAAAACTAATGAATGATTTTTTTTATTTGAACCAAGTTGATAGTGCATAAAAATCATCGAAGACATGCAATGAAGCAGTTGTTGCACGAATGAACTCTTAAGAAGTGCATCAGCAGGAAAAAAAAACACCTTCTGTTCATCGTTCTGGAACACGGATCGGATGTGTGTGTGTGTGTGGACAGCTACAGGTATGCTTCAGTCTGGTATCAGTGTGACGATGATTGTCGATTCAACGGCCATGGAAATATTATTAATCGCGACGCTTACCGCAAACCATTCAAGTTATAGACCGTCCCCGTAGTAGTCGTCCTCCAGTAACGCCCTCATATCAAGAGAGAACCACGCACCTCACCAGCAACCCTCACAAACCGTGCCACGCTTGGCAACTGTGCTTGGGTTGGCGACGACGCCCGTTTTCCTCTACCCCTATTGAATCATCACCACACAATTGGACCGAGGACAAACAACAATTTGGAAGGATTTCATGGTCGTGTGAACAGAAGTCTCCCACATCAGCACCCAAACCTGTACCGATTTGTGGACCTGATCCAAGGCATAGAGACATCGGCAGGCGCTAAGCTAACGCAGATTGACTTTGGTGCCGCTCCCCCACCCAGGAAGAAGGTGTACATAGAGTCTGAGGGGAGACTGCTCCGGTTGAAAGAGAAGCTGACAAGTGGCCAGAAGACATCTGTTCAATTCCTGGATGCTGTTGGACACCTATTGAAACTGGGCTGACAATATTGAACACTGCTCTAATATAATCAGTTCTGACTGATTTCATACTGATTTGCTTACTTGTACTGGATGTGATCATTATTTTTATTGTTATCATTATATATATTATATATATTAAAAAGTCTTCCCTGATTTCTTACATTTCTGTTATTTGTTTTATGGGCCATTCCTATTTCATTGAGAGGTAACATGCAGGGGATTAGCTGTGCACTGAACAAGATAGTTTGTTGTTTTAACCTATCTGACAAATGGCACGTCTGACAAATGGGAGGATACCCACCAAGCCCGACGGCCTATTCTGACGCTGGAAATCGACGTCGACGTCTCCAGTTAAGCAGACAATACTTGTGATGGCGAGCACTGTCTTTTAGAAGTGTACTCTTCACGGATAAGTCACAAATATGCAAGATGCACTGCTCTTACGGACTGTTGCCGTACCTTGAAACATTCGCGGCAGTATAAGTTTAGCACCGATTCTGTTGGATTTGTGTGTGTAACAATAAGTTTTGCCTTTGAGTATATACATTCCACACCTGAATTCTATTAATTCATAGCCCTGCAGCATCCAGTACATACACGATTCCAGGGGTGGAAATAGCTTTAAAATTGATAGTGTACTCCGGTATAGTGGCACATGTAAAGTCATTTGTCCTGATATTTTTCCAGTATACCGACCGTTTTCTTGCTGATTTTTTAAATAAACAACATAATTAACATTGGAAAGTCAACTGGACACCGGTACAGTGTGATAGAAAAAAAATTTGACGTCGGGCAATTTATTTCCGACAGACAATATACCTACACTGGACTCGGACAGTAGGGCAATTACCTACACCATGACACAGTTAAACAGACTATATACCTACACCAGACACAGATCTTAGGCTATCTACAGTAGACATTCAAATTACCTACACCATGACACAGACACTTCAACAGTTCTTCCTACATTCCTACACCAGACACAGATCTTCAACAGACTACATTCCTACACCAGACACAGATCTTCAACAGACTACATACCTACACCAGACACAGATCTTCAACAGACTACATACCTACACCAGACACAGATCTTCAACAGACTACATACCTACACCAGACACAGTTCTTCAACAGCCTACATTCCTACACCAGACACAGTTCTTCAACAGCCTACATTCCTACACCAGACACAGATCTTCAACAGACTACATAAAAATGCCAGACACAGATCTTCAACAGACTACACACCTACACCAGACACAGATCTTCAACAAAGTACATAGCTACACCAGACACAGATCTTCAACAGACTACATTCCTACACCAGATACAGATCTTCAACAGACTACATAAAAACGCCAGACACAGATCTTCAACAGAGTGAGTGAGTGGGTTTTACGTCGCATACAGCAATATTCCAGCTATATGGCGGAGGTCTGTAAATATTCGAGTCTGGACCAGACAATCCAGTGATCAAAAGCATGAGCATCAATCTGCGCAATTGGGAACCGATGACATGTGTCAACGAAGCCAGCGAGCCTGACCACCCGATCCCGTTAGTCGCCTCTTACGACAAGCATGGGTTACTGAAGGTTCATTCTAACCCGGACCCGGACCGGGTTTCTTCAACAGACCACATACCTACACCAGACGCAGATCTTCAACAGACCACATACCTACACCAGACGCAGATCTTCAACAGACCACATACCTACACCAGACGCAGATCTTCAACAGACCACATACCTACACCAGACGCAGATCTTCAACAGACCACACACCTACACCAGACGCGGATCTTCAACAGACCACATACCTACACCAGACGCAGATCTTCAACAGACCACATACCTTCACCAGACGCAGAACTTCAACAGACCACATACCTGCACCAGACGCAGATCTTCAACAGACCACATACCTACACCAGACACAGATCTTCAACAGACCACATACTTACACCAGACACAGATCTTCAACAGACTACATACCTACATCCAACACAGATCTGCAGTAATGTGGCCACTCCACTGGTAAAGAGGCACAAGCTGAGAAGTTCGGCCCTCATCCCATACTCTTCTCCTGCTCCTGTAAGGCTGGCAATCAATACCGCCGCTGGCAGAGATCCCGTTATTACTTGAAACGCTTGCTGAAAAATAATACATTATTACATGATTAACACGCTATAAAAAAGTGAAATATCAGTTTGCCCGCTCGCTACCGACAATGAGATTGAGCATAGTTTTAACATTTTTACTTCCAGCAATGTAGAATCGTACTAGGACCCTCCCGCATGTCGAGCGAAAACTTACTAACGTGCTATCACTCTGGCCTACCTATCTGATTTAGTAATGGTGCTTGTAGGGGAAACAGGATATGTTATGATTTTGTCTGCCAATGCCGCTTGGTGACGGAGTCAAGCCTGTCTCATCTCTGAGATGGGTTTTTTACAACTCACATTGACCCGTATTTCCACTGGAGTAGATATTTACAAACATTAAATTTATCAGATGTCTATAAAATTTACAGGTGACCTGGTCTGTAAATATTACAAACACTGAAATGTCATAACAAACGTAATTCAGAGTGACTTGCCATGCCTCATCTAACTATTTAATTATTTCCTGAATAGGTGCCACATCTATATTTAAAATAACAACAGCAGCAGCAGCAGCAACAGCAACAACAACAAAAATGATTACAACAACAACATTATAAGAAACAACAGAAATAATACATTCACGTATGGGAGGGGTTCCTTGCCATCTCGTGGAAGTCAGGCCAGAGGGATGTAGCTAAGAGGCTCAAAATTCCCCAAATAAGGACAAACTTCGGGCAGGATAAAAGCATAAATGAATTAGCAAAATCTATAAATAGTTATGCTGTGTCCGTCCTTCGTTGTTGCCTTGGTGTTGTTGATTGGTCGAGACAAGAAATTCGGGGTATTGATATCCCCTCACGAAGAACAGCGTGAGACAATACATCCACTACCACTTCCCTCAATCGCTCATATTTACCAGCAAGAGGAGAAAGCCATTGAAATGCCGTGCCGCTAAGCCAAAACATTGTCCCACATACTTCAGTAAGTTGTATTATCTGCATGCCAAAGGTAAGGATATTTAGGGAGTATTGTTTTTTTACTATAAACAAAAAGTAGAAAAACACTAGAATACTTCATGTCTGTGTTATAAATATAGACATAAAAAGAAGGGAGCGCAGCTCACATATCCCCGCTCCCTGGTTTTATCGTAAACAGCAACGGTAACAACAACGGGTTATTTATCCCATAATAATGAAAGACATATCTAATGAGTAAAACTGATATCAAATTCGTATGTACAAAGTAAGCTATTCAATTAATGAACCAAGATTGCATACAAAAACAACAACACATGGCGTATGCTACAGTAGACCGCTTTGTCAACGGCATTCAATATTCATTTACAACGCTGGTATCATATGGGAACTGTTGTAGATATGTGTTATTATCAATCTTTCTATGGACATCCTTTGATAGTCTTTTTGTTTAAATTCATTTACTGATTTAATATATTTTTCATTGTGTGAATGTTCACCTACGTTCACTTTCATCTACCTGTAAGGAACCGACAGTTTAAATTCCATTGAGCATGTTTACCTGTGTAGACAGGCAGACTCGGGCATACGATTTAAAGGGTATGCACATCACATAACCTACAAGGTAGAATTCCCGGAATATTTAAATAGTTTGTTGCACATTTAAACACAAGGTGATTATTGCTAACATCTCCGAATGGCTTGTCAAGATCTGACCAGGCACATGTATATGGACAGATGACACTGGCTTCTTGGCGCAACTCATCTGAAGTCGCCATACCCAGGACACTGTCTACTCATCAATCTCGTCTTCAATGCTTGAGTTCATACACTGGGGTACACACGTTATTACTGAGGAAGATTTTCCTATCGGCCCTTTCCCAGTATTATTGGTGCTACACCACACCGGAAGTTGGCTAAGGCACTGCGGTAACATCCGGGTAGTCTGACTGACACATAGACCGGATACCACTGATGTTCATGCACCTGCACCATTGTCGTTACTCGGGTAAACTCTGACTTATGTCGATAGGGAGCCATCCCAAGTCTCTAAATACTGCATCAGTGGGTACATATCTTCCAACTTCCAAACGTAAACGGCCTGGGGCTCCTTTCACGAAGCAACCTTTACTAAGGTTAACCTTAACTCCTATTCTTTAACATTGCACTAAGGTTACCTTAGTGACTTACGATCACCTTAGTGCTTTGTGAAAGGAGGCCCTGGTCCATTCTAAAATGCGTCGATGGACGAAAGCTCTCTTTGTACCCATGCTGTTGCCCCGTATGTTATTACAGGTTAAACCAGACAGTTTTGTGAACACATTGTAGTCAACACATCCTATCCCTTTATACCTGACAATTACAAAACGCAGTGCAGTACTTGATGCTTGAGCAACAGTGTTAGCTGCAATATTGTAATCTAGATTGGTTGGTTGGTGTTTAACGCCACTCTCAGCAGTATTCCAGCTGTATGGCATGTGTTTGCATGTGCTTCATTGTAGGACATGACTGAAATCCACGGAAGTCATGCTATCAAAAAGACGTTATTTTATTCCGAGCGTTCAGTGCTGACCTCCAGATTTTCCTAAGTACACATTTGCATTCTGAACCTGCCCCCCGATGGTCTGCTCCTCCACGTGTACTTTAGAGAAATATCCTACCACCTTTGCAACACCAACAATCCCCTGTCTGAAGTTAAAAAAACGAAAACCTGATTTAAGACTTGTCGCAGATTATTCGTTTGGGGACTCGACTTCCACGTTAAGTGATTAACGTCCGTTTCAGAAAGCCTCCGTTATGCAAATTTTATCATGGTGAAGTGTTTGTGCTTAAACAGGCAATAACGTATTACCATGTGCAACGTTGCCATTGCAAGGTTACTTGCCTCAGGTGCAACTATAGATAAACGGAAGTGTCATTAAATTTGTGATCAGTGATGTGAACGAAAATACAGCTGACACACTTTCATATGGAGCGACTGTCACAACAGATGCATGTTGTGTTAATACATTCAATGATCTGTCATCACGGGTTGATGCTTCATTAAAGAGAGCAGTGTTTACTGATGACCAATTTTGTTACTGCTGCATCTCTCCAGAATATACAGGTCACAGGTGTTGCTGTGTAATGGACTCTTGATTAGTTTCGAGGCACATTCCGGAAACTCACGGTATACGGCTGTTTTGCTTATATTTGTATTTGTATGTTTATTATTCATTGAAATGTTTGTGAACTCTTTACACATTCCCCACGTTTTCTCACGCCAACAGGCGAAGGCGACCCCAAAGCACATATAACATTTTAAGTTTAAATCAACCACATGAAATGTTAGGGGATCAAACCCTGAAATTTCATCACTGCTACACACTACCCCTACAAAGAAATTGGCGTCCCCGCCATTAACCAGGACCTTGAATGACTGACAGCAGTACATCAGACACTTTAGGAGAGAGATGTTCAAAAGTTCCACTCGTTGCCACTCGCTGCCTTTTCGAGCCACTCTGGCGGACGCACTGCATGTGCCATCACGAAGTCGACACTTGTATGCCATGCTGGTTTGCGTCTCTGTCGTCCAGAACGACGTGGTTCGTTATCGGAAGTGCGATTCTGTACTTCTCTTGACACAGTAGCACTGTTTTCATCCAACTCTGTAGTATTTTCTTCAGCATTTTCTTGAGATAATGTCGCAGTTTCTGACTCGATAGCTTCATCAGCAGACTCTGATCTAGAATCTTCACTATCTGACACAGAATCACTCGATTCATCATCGTCATTGCCATTATCATCATCATGTTTTGATACTACCACTTCGTCAGTCTCAGTTGATGTTCCTGGAATTGAGGCACCTGACTGCTCTATGGCATCTGTTACGTTCAAAACACATGTCTGTCTCATCATGCTGAGAATATTCACTTGTTGGATTATCAGTAACCTGGTTCTTATCAGTCACCCATGTGTCACTCATATGTCGGTCACCCGGGTGTCAGTCACCCATGTGTCAGTCACCAGGTGTCATGATTAGTCACCCAGGTGTCAGTCAAAAACATAGGTATCTCCCGCATGTCAGGTTACACAAATTGGAAACTGACTCACCTGTAGACCATTTATGAGCAAACTAGGGAGGGGCGGTGATGTATCCACGGGGTAGAGAAGCTGCCTGTCAACCCGCACTTCACCATCCACCTCTTGTGGGTGCGTACATTCCTCCATCCTCGAGTATGTTGATGTACCACGTGTAACAGTACGTTACCTGCTACATGCAGCAGCTGTAACAGCGAGTGACAGGATGTTATTGATTCTACATCATCCACATGTCACCAGTGACATATGGTGGCAGAGAAAACAGTCAGCTGGTTATAATTCACAGAATATCTGAAAACATATTCATTATTTTTCTTTTCCGTGATTTTCTGCGATAGCCTTCAATGTCACCTTTGCTCTTATTGTTGTACAGATACAAGCTTCAATAATGCATTCGGCATGAAAGCATGTGTGTCGTATTAATGTATGTGACCATCTCACAGAAACCAGGTCGTTACACATAATCATTTAGTGTGATTTTGATCAAATATTCATATTCACTTTGAGTACAGTATTCGCGATGCTCAGATATAAGGCATTGTTATCCCCCCAGTAGGTTGAGTAAGTGGGACTGAGCCCGGATGAGCAGCCTAGAGGTTCGTTAAAGCGTCGAAGTCGTGTACTAATCCCGATGTTGATCCCAAAACAGGTACAATATGTGAATCTCGTGGCTGGTGTCCCCGTCTTGATATTGCTGCGATATAATTATAATGACATCAAGCCAAACACACTCGCTTGTTGTACATGGTTGTTACATGGCTTAGGGACGGTGGGGTAGCCTAGTGGTTAAAGCGTTGGCTCGCCACGCCGAAGACCCGGGTTCGATTCCCCACATGGGCACAATGTGTTAAGCCCATTTCTGGTGTCCCCGGCCGTGATATTGTTGGAATATTGCTAAAAGCGGCGTAAAACTAAACTCAGTCAGTCAGTACATGGCTATTCGTCTATAACACCCTTCTTCATTACAGTCGTTAGTTCGGTGTTCAGTGTTTTCTTACATCAGTGCCTCGGCAGATTATTTTGCCTTACCGACACATTCGAAGCAGTTACATACGGGGTTTTTTCTATTCATTTTCTTATGTTATTTTTACAAATATTTCACTTTCATCTGCATTTTTGCGAATATAGATAAATGGAAACAGGATTGTTTGTTTGTAAACAAAGGTCAGGTGACTGAACATCGCAGGCGGTTTCCGACATGTATGCTTTCTGATGAACTTTTATAGTATTATTGTATAAGTTTAAACATTTACCAATAATATCAGCCTTTATGAAATACAGTGTACATATATAAACTTACCCACTTTCTTCTTTATCATAACGAGCCTTGTATCCGAATGTGATACATGACACTCCGCTGTGCTGTACCTACAGGTGGAAAATGTGCATGTCCCTGCATGTCCCTGCATGTCCCTTGAGCGTGTAAAGCCATCAGCTGCTCTTGATACGTTATTACTACGTAACTGATACGCCTTTAATACAACATTGCATATAATCTTATTTAAGTTTCATTTGGATGAAATCTTCATGTGTTATTGATATAGATAATATGAAGATATTCATTGTGATTTCTAAGGTTGGATGATTACATATATAATAAACGTATATTACCCTTATAAAAACTTTGACCTTATAGTAACCTTTTTAGGGTTTATAAGTGGTCTAGGATAGTTATAATACCTAGAATTTGTTGTCGGGGAATTAGCTTGGGACCGCAACACCTTCAAATAACCAAGAGAAGCATCCATTAGTGGCCAGTCTTTATTCGGTAAATTTCATGAGTCATATTATATAATTAAACATTAGCAATATTTCAAACTTGGACAAGTAATACATATGAAAATCATGTGAATTAATAATTACATAAACCTTACTGACAATATACCTTACAATAAACAATTGCTAAGATTACACGGAAGTGAGGACACTTCATATTATATTGGAAAACATAAAACACGTGATGTAGCGCAGCCGGGAAATACGCGTAGAGAATGATCAGGTAGCTCTTCAGTAAGACACGTAGTACACGTGCTATCAATTGCTAAAATAAGCTTCTATGTTTATGGACGTCGTAAATGATAGGTGTTACCTTACTACATCCCAACAGAATACAACTTAAACAGAATAATCAGAATACACAAATAATATAAATGTTCAGTCTGCTGGTTGAATCATATGACCACATCTGAATATCTGGACTATCGTGATTTACTAAAGATCATATTCCGAATGGCATGTTATTGGAAGTGTCCAACATATATTATTAGAGCTTAACGATACTGAGAACGTAGCAATATGTGAGCAACAAGGTTTATGTGCGCGTTTTATTTTACGTGTACCGTATGGTTATCTCACGTAATATGTACATTGTTTAAACATTGGTTGATGGAAGGTAGCATGGAACATTTGAATTAAAACGAATAATAATCATTTAGAATCATACATTCACTGGCAAACACTTTCATTGCAAACACGCAATAATATATACACATGTGCACAAAACTTACTTTGCTTCCACGAGCCCGATTATATTTAATCTTGATTTACTGAACTTATATAATGTCTAAACGTAACTAAAATATACTGTGAACTATTTTGATGTACACTAAATTGTTAGATTTGTGATACATGGCCTGACACAACTATGATACAGATATTCACTGTTCTGTCTAGTCAATACTGCATAGTTTAAATGATAATATAAACTAACAGTATGGCACGCAATAGAAAACAGAGAAAATATGAACATAATTTAAGAACATACATGAATGAATTGAACATGGCTTACCTTCAAATAACCAAGAGAAGCATCGATTAGTGGCCAGTCTTTATTCGGTGCATTTCATGAGTGAAATACCCCCAATAAAGGCCGTTATATATACCACCGATGCTCTCAGAGTTCGTGATATGGTCGCACGTTCAATGGAGCTTATTATCATAGAGTAATGTTTATTTCTCTCTCCGGACATGTCGTCTTAACAATTACTACATAAAACTTATCAAGAAAACTTGGGAATGAAGACGAGCGTATATCGATACTGACAGGTTATAGACTTGGTACGGACCATACATATAGTCTTAAAGCTTAACACATAATGCTAATTATCTTACAACTTGGAAAATGAAGATCAACACTAACTGAGACAGCGTTTAGTATTCTCGATATTGAATAAAATGCATCGGCACGTGGCATCATCCGAAAAAAGAAGTACTTCATCCATAAAGTTTGTCCTCATCTTTTTATTATTTTTTTAATTATAGGATATTTATATAGCACACATATCCAGGCAACTAGTGCATGCTCAAGGCGCTGGTATTTTCCCCCTCGATCATTGGATGTCAATCTCAAAGGCACATCGTATTATCAATCTGAACTCCCTGGGGAGTATACAACTCTTGCAGCCACTAGGCGCACAGAGTTATTGTGGCTTTCTCATCCTAACGAGGTACCCATTCACAGCTGGGTGGACTGGGACACATAGTCACAGTACTTTGTCCAAGTTCACTGCACGTTGCTTTACCCGCAACTAGGTGTTTGCACGTATTCATGTGACCACCAGCTGGTCATATACCAACTGATTCGTGGGTTCTTTTAAGTGCACAGGGATCAGTACTGTACACTAGGGGTTGTGACAACACTGAAAGAGTCCGCACACAAAGTTAACTCCAAGGCTTTTACACCCGGTCACAGGTGGGCTCGATCCCGACACCTCAACCTCGCTGGATCACTAGCCTGGCGCCTTAGCCCAGCTCGCCCACCGCGCCCCCCTTTGTACATGGTACAAGACCCCTTACTCACAAGTCTTACTTTGTTCCCTTACTCACAAGCCTTACTTTGTTCCCTTACTCACAAGCCTTACTTTGTTCCCTTACTCACAAGCCTTACTTTGTTGACCTTTGTTTGTTAGTTATTCAGGCCTTGTAACATGTTCGGAACAGTCTTCTGATGTTCATTGTTACCGGGGCGGCATTGATGTAACATGTTCGGAACAGTCTTCTGATGTTCATTGTTACCGGGGCGGTATTGATGTAACATGTTCGGAACAGTCTTCTGATGTTCATTGTTACCGGGGCGGCATTGATGTAACATGTTCGGAACAGTCTTCTGATGTTCATTGTTACCGGGGCGGCATTGATGTAACATGTTCGGAACAGTCTTCTGATGTTCATTGTTACCGGGGCGGTATTGATGTAACATGTTCGGAACAGTCTTCTGATGTTCATTGTTACCGGGGCGGTATTGATGTAACATGTTCGGAACAGTCTTCTGATGTTCATTGTTACCGGGGCGGTATTGATGTAACATGTTCGGAACAGTCTTCTGATGTTCATTGTTACCGGGCGGTATTGATGTAACATGTTCGGAACAGTCTTCTGATGTTCATTGTTACCGGGGCGGTATTGATGTAACATGTTCGGAACAGTCTTCTGATGTTCATTGTTACCGGGGCGGTATTGATGTAACATGTTCGGAACAGTCTTCTGATGTTCATTGTTACCGGGGCGGTATTGATGTAACATGTTCGGAACAGTCTTCTGATGTTCATTGTTACCGGGGCGGTATTGATGTAACATGTTCGGAACAGTCTTCTGATGTTCATTGTTACCGGGGCGGTATTGATGTAACATGTTCGGAACAGTCTTCTGATGTTCATTGTTACCGGGGCGGTATTGATGTAACATGTTCGGAACAGTCTTCTGATGTTCATTGTTACCGGGGCGGTATTGATGTAACATGTTCGGAACAGTCTTCTGATGTTCATTGTTACCGGGGCGGTATTGATGTAACATGTTCGGAACAGTCTTCTGATGTTCATTGTTACCGGGGCGGTATTGATGTAACATGTTCGGAACAGTCTTCTGATGTTCATTGTTACCGGGGCGGTATTGATGTAACATGTTCGGAACAGTCTTCTGATGTTCATTGTTACCGGGGCGGTATTGATGTAACATGTTCGGAACAGTCTTCTGATGTTCATTGTTACCGGGGCGGTATTGATGTAACATGTTCGGAACAGTCTTCTGATGTTCATTGTTACCGGGGCGGTATTGATGTAACATGTTCGGAACAGTCTTCTGATGTTCATTGTTACCGGGCGGTATTGATGTAACATGTTCGGAACAGTCTTCTGATGTTCATTGTTACCGGGGCGGTATTGATGTAACATGTTCGGAACAGTCTTCTGATGTTCATTGTTACCGGGGCGGTATTGATGTAACATGTTCGGAACAGTCTTCTGATGTTCATTGTTACCGGGGCGGTATTGATGTAACATGTTCGGAACAGTCTTCTGATGTTCATTGTTACCGGGGCGGTATTGATGTAACATGTTCGGAACAGTCTTCTGATGTTCATTGTTACCGGGGCGGTATTGATGTAACATGTTCGGAACAGTCTTCTGATGTTCATTGTTACCGGGGCGGTATTGATGTAACATGTTCGGAACAGTCTTCTGATGTTCATTGTTACCGGGGCGGTATTGATGTAACATGTTCGGAACAGTCTTCTGATGTTCATTGTTACCGGGGCGGTATTGATGTAACATGTTCGGAACAGTCTTCTGATGTTCATTGTTACCGGGGCGGTATTGATGTAACATGTTCGGAACAGTCTTCTGATGTTCATTGTTACCGGGGCGGTATTGATGTAACATGTTCGGAACAGTCTTCTGATGTTCATTGTTACCGGGGCGGTATTGATGTAACATGTTCGGAACAGTCTTCTGATGTTCATTGTTACCGGGGCGGTATTGATGTAACATGTTCGGAACTGAGTCTTCTGATGTTCATTGTTACCGGGGCGGTATTGATGTAACATGTTCGGAACAGTCTTCTGATGTTCATTGTTACCGGGGCGGTATTGATGTAACATGTTCGGAACAGTCTTCTGATGTTCATTGTTACCGGGGCGGTATTGATGTAACATGTTCGGAACAGTCTTCTGATGTTCATTGTTACCGGGGCGGTATTGATGTAACATGTTCGGAACAGTCTTCTGATGTTCATTGTTACCGGGGCGGTATTGATGTAACATGTTCGGAACAGTCTTCTGATGTTCATTGTTACCGGGGCGGTATTGATGTAACATGTTCGGAACAGTCTTCTGATGTTCATTGTTACCGGGGCGGTATTGATGTAACATGTTCGGAACAGTCTTCTGATGTTCATTGTTACCGGGGCGGTATTGATGTAACATGTTCGGAACAGTCTTCTGATGTTCATTGTTACCGGGGCGGTATTGATGTAACATGTTCGGAACAGTCTTCTGATGTTCATTGTTACCGGGCGCGGTATTGATGTAACATGTTTGGAACAGTCTTCTGATGTTCATTGTTACCGGGGCGGTATTGA